GCTATGACTCTTTTCATAATGCTCTAAAGTGCGTTACTCAATTTGTTTGCACACATCACTGCAGTCATGAGACTACGTCTTTCAAAAAAAAAAAAAAAAAAAAAAAAAAAAAAAAAAAAAAAAAAAAAAATACAATGCTTGTATAAATGAAAGCTTCATCTCAAGATTTCAAGAATTTTCTGTGCAATGTGATTAGCTTAAAACTTGGTGAAAAGAAAGCATTTTTTTTCTAAAATACAATTATTCATCTTTATTACTGTACATCTTCTCTGTTACCTCCTGATTATCATTTGTATTGCAAGCAGAAATATATATATTTTTTAAATTCTTTGTAAAAGTTATTTAATCATACTTGAACATGTTGAAAATACAGTTTTAAATGTAGCATTTACTTCTTAGTTCCAAACACAAGGTATCTGCACTGGGGGATTAAGAGGGGGGCCAAGGGCCCCCTTTTGTGTCCAAAATATACATAATTTAATAAATCAATTTTTTTTGGTATTGTTGTGGGCCCCTACCCCTACCCAAAACTGGAGCCCTCCCCCCTTTTCAAGATTCCTGGATCCGCCACTGATATGTATTACCAGAAGACATTCATATTGATTAAAGCATTCATTATAATAAATTAATCCTAGATATTGACCATGGTTAAATAAAAAGTGTGTTGAACACTTCCCTAGGAAAATGCTTTGTTTTCCTTTTTGAAAGTGTTTTTTGTGAAGGATTTTGTGACGTCAGTGCAGTATTTGGTTGTTCAAAATTCATGCAGAAATTCAAACTTCTAAGAAATACAGTAAAACATGCTTATAGCCAACAAGCTTATAATGAATTTTTAATCTAACTTGCTGCAGCTTAACCTGCCCAAAATCAATGGAGACTCTACCACATCAATAGAAAAGTTAACTCAGTAACGATGCAGTATAAATTTTCTAAAGAGGCTCAGTGGCGGATTCAGGGGGGTTTGGGGGGGGGGGTCGGGAAAACCCCCCCGCCCGATCAAAAAAAATTTTTTTTACAAGTGTCATTTTAACAATATATTGCATAAATGCGACTCTATCCAAGCCCATTGTTTTATACAAAGAGGTGAAATAAACAGTCACATGCGAAATCCCTTTCCGCTTGAGCGCACACAATATACAGGTAATCAACAGTACGTACTATGCAGAGATCATGATAGTCCGTGCAGCTAGTGATGACGCAACGACATACACTAACAACCAAAACTGCACATAGTTATTACGGTTTTGTTTTGGCTAAATTAATATTGTTTCGAGAATTTTCTTCTTTCTTCGATAATTGAATGTTATTTTCTTTATTGAATCACATGAATAAACTGTGATTATTATTTAATAGAAGAAAAAAATAATTAATACATCAGGGATGTATACCAGTTGAAATACGTTGTGACCTTTACCAAAAAGCACATTGAAAGTATTCCTTTTGTAGATTGAAGTTACAATGCAATTTTAAAAAGCAAAAGATCTGCATTTTTTTAAATTACAGTTGAATGTTGTTGAATAAAACCCAACTAACGGTTACAACTTTGTATAAAGAATTGTGGTAAAACTAATACGTATAAATTAGAGGTCCTGTCAAAACAAGAATTGGCCACTTTTTTATTGATTGTTTTTCAAGATTTTTTTTCAAACTTAGGGCAGGTAAGTAGGTAAAAAAAAAAAAAAAATAGAATTAAAGAGTGCATTTATGTTAGAAATTATAATTACCCCCCCCCCCCCCCAATGAATAAGCAATAATTCCAATTATTTTCCAAAATAATTTATATTTATTCTTCAATATGAAATATCATTATGTGTTTATATTAAAAATTATATGAACAGTATAGTCAAGTAGTTAAAAAGAGTAATTAGGGTTTCTACACAGAATTCGAATATTCTAAGTGCTGGAAAATTGCACATCATGCAGTTGTATTTTGGTAGACAAAGCTTCACATGCGACAGTGTGTTGGACATGCATTTTAAAATGAAGAATTGGATATTATATAGCAAATGGCGATATTTCTAATTTTATCAGATTTTACATTTAATTTTTTCTTTAGAAAAGTCTCATTTTTCAAGTTAACATGGAAGTTAAAAATAATCCCAAAATGTTAATTTTTTGTCCAATTTCTTGAAAATTTGGGTAGGTCGGTCTTGAAAAACAACTAGGAAAAAAGTGGCCAAAAACTAACTAATTCAATCTAAAATGCTGGAAAATGCACCATTTGGAGCCATTTTTAAAGAAAATTTCCTCCACCTATGGGAGGGGGACACCCCCTCCCATGCCCTCCCCCTTCGGCACTATGGGCCTCAAAACCCCCCCAGGTGGACTTCTGGATCTGCCACTGAGGCTCATGGGCCACATCACTCACCGGAGCACTTTGGTTAGAGAAAAGCAGAAATCAGTTCAGTATTGAAAAGTTTAAATATATAAAGGGCCTCAACCTACCCAGGGAGGGGCAGGAGAGGGTGTCATGATAGGAACAATCTTGAATCTGCACTACCTGGGGATATTTTCCTACATTTATATGACTATTCATGGATTTTAAAGATTTTTATGAATTTTCTGTTCCATTATCCTATGCATAAAGTTGATCTTCTATTCTGGCCCCACCCTACCCTCAGGAAATCATGATTTTAACAAACCTTCCATATTAATATGAACAATAATGGCTTAGGAGATGGCCGAACAAGACATGCAGAATCATAAAGGTTCAGAGATATGAAAATTATATTCAATTTGTAATAAATATTAGTACTAAGAGTAATGTTCTCATTATTGAAATTTATGAAATTCCGATTTCTGGGGAAAATTTTTTCGGCAAAAATTATTCTGTTATTAAAAAATAATGTGGTACATGTATTTGTAGGTTTGAATCCTATAGCAATAAAAATCCTGAGTATCATTTTCCTTCGAGACTAACACACTAACCACTACACAACACAACTCCTGATGCATAGTGGCATTTAAATCATGTTTGTGATATGATCCTTGACTAAATGGACTTTAAGTATTTCTCAGAAAGATGCAAATGCTGTGTCATAAAAATGTATGTTTAAGGTATAGCGGGTCTTTGCTCTATGTGTAAGTAAACTAAAAAATGTTAATTTTTATGCAAAAATTTTTATTGAAAAATTCTGATATATAGTATGAGAAAATGGCCCTTTTTGCCCTCTTTAGTGTGTGTATGCCATTTTTATATGCAAATAATTTCAATCTATGTGATATTTTTGCAAATCTACACTACCTGAGGATGCTCCCATATAAAAAAAACTAATCATGGCTTTGATGTTCTTGAGAAACAAGATTTTGAAAGATATTTTATATATATTCCCATGTATTAAAACTTTGATGCCAATTGTAGCCCCAACCTATCCTTGGGGGTGAGGGTCATGTTTTGAACAACCTTGAATCTTCACTACATGAGGATGCTTCCATATACCTGTAAATTGACGTACCATTGCTTTGCTGTTTTTGAGAAGAAGATTTTAAAAGACTACACTTGCTATGTAACTGATATGCAGCTTTAAAACTATTGAAGCAAACAACAAAGAAAATCATTTCTGAGCTCAGGTAGACATATTATTAGTTATCCAGGTCCAATCAAAGGTGTACGGGGATTTACCCTGGGTTTTATACCATACACCCTGAGGCCGAAGGCCGAAGGGTGTATGGAATACAATCCGGGGTAAATACCCATACACCCTTGATTGTACCTGGATAACGAATTTATTTCCTATGTACCCAAATAAATTCTTTGTAGACAAGTCAAATCAACTGTGTTTCAAGCTATAATCGAAAAGATTTACTACGTCCTACAATGTATTGAGACATAATGTTATTTGCTTTTTATCATAGAGAAACTATGCATTGTGACGTCAAGTTTTTTTTTACCCTCGGCTCAAGTTGGGTGTACGGAAATTTACATCCAACTTTGTAACCTGATCAAAGCTTGTGTTACAAGCTACATAGGAAATAAGTATGTTAATCACCATTTTATAAAGAAAACTCTGCTCCACACAGAGGAGTAGTGTAGGTCAAAAAGTAATTGCACACCTTTTATTATCATTACTATTCTTGTATAAAATGTTAATCGTGTAATATTTTTAATAGGGGTTATATAGTTTATCGTATTTATCTTATGTCCCAACTTTATTTTATACCTGCATTTTTAAAACTGTTTTGTGTCAGAGAGAGAGAGAGAGAGAGAGAGAGAGTTGTTTTCTGTTGTGACAGTGAAACTTTGTTGATTTTCTTTAAAAGCGTGAACTGTATTGTTGCTCTGACCCCGAGGTCAGGACACTTCCATATATAAGCAATTTACGACTTACGACACTTATAGTATCATGTAAGTAAAGAAATACATACCAACATGTATGAATATAATTATTGGAGTCTATAGCATCATCTGATATACTTTTCATCTGTACTATGTGGATAATCATAATGTATTATGTAAACACGAAAGACTCTACTTTCTCTTCGGGACGACCTTGAAATGTTATTATAAAATACCGATCCCGATCCAAAATACTCACGTGACCAAATTGTGAAACTTTTGCTTTGAAATTTTTGATTTTAGAACAAAATTTGGTGATTGCATGTAACAAAAGTGTCAGGTATAATTTCTAAAAAAAAAATCTCCCCTTTACGTACATCTACTTTTTCCCTTTTTGTAAAATGTTTAAGTCTTCGGTTTATTAAGAAAAGAATTCCACTGAGTTACAAATGAAAACCAATATATATCGTTAACTCTTCGAGTTGAAAGGGAAATCATTTTAAAAATAACGTGGGTTTGTAAATTGCCATGTTGTTGTTCAATCTAGCGATAGTAATAATACAATATTTATTTTAGAAGCTGCGAAATGAAGCGATTTTGGACAATATAGCTACAGGCGACCTTGAATGCTCCGGTAGTCTTGTGACTCTCTCGTTAGGTAAATAGATTCACATGGTTACTTGTTGATAGAAGAAAAAAAATCTGGATTATTCAGTATTATATGCAGTAGGTCGATGACTCCTTTTTAAATGAATATAAACTTCTAATTTCATGAAGGGCGCACTTTTAAACGCCCATGAACTGGTGTTCAAATTTATACAACCATTGGAACTTGATCACTCCGAAGTTTCATTTAAGTTCACTTTACGTCAAAAATGAAAGTCGGAATTTCGTATGAGCTACAGTGTGCTTTCCTCTGTTTGTGTTTTCGTGCTATTCTATGTGGATTTAACCATCGAGTGATCCCTGCATGTGATGAAACTGAAGATGTATGTAAATTTGAATTTGACGTTCGATACAAATTCTCCATGGTGCATTATTTTAACGGGTACTCCACTCCCATTGTGGTGAGGAACGGGACATTACTGAAGAGATCGGTGTATAGCAGCGACAAATTTGAACCTCTTACCCCTCAAGGTAATCTCTCTCCCTCTCTCTCTCTCTATCAAAATACAAATGTATATTATATGCATGTAGAAAAAACACTCCTACTGCTGTTAAATTCTCTTATTTTATCACATTATAATCATATTATAATCTTAGGTACCTGCTATGTGGACAGGACCCACTCAAAACCCCGTCGATATGTTGAATTTTTTTGTAACAAAAAATACTCATTATAGACTTTTTTTGGACGGTAGAAAGAATTTGGAAAATCTTCAAAGCAATCGTTCCATACAAAAATAAATGTATATAAAAGTCTGTTAAACATCATTTCTTTTAAAAATCCATCCGACGTTTTAATACTGGGGGGGGGGGGGGGGGGGGGGTTATGGGGTGTCTAGCTGTCCATGTTTACCTGAGATAATAAATTTGTATATCTTGACGAAATACCTTCAAAGACATGACAGTCTTAGTAGTCATGAAAATCAAATTCGAGGAACCCCCGCCTCTATTTATGCCATCAGTTATGGGTGTACAGTTGTTGAATTAAGGAAGTAAATTCAAGTTATATATTGAAGACTGTGTAAAATAAGTCTTCAAGACAGAAATTTTGCATTTAACATTTGAACATAAAATTTTAGATGTTTTTCAAATTAAAAATCGACCTTTATATAAAAGATATAATTATGTATACGCAGTATTAGAACACTTTAATCTATACGGTCTACATGTGCATCTCTACTAATAATATGAGAAATTAAATAATAATAATAAAAAAAGAGATTATTATTATTCTATGGTTATTATTCTATGGTATAGTGGTCAAGGTAGTAAAGCATCAAGCTACATGCATTTTTGGCCTGTAAAAGATATCTTGTGAGGTATAAATGACCATCACATGTCATTGGTGTACCTTAACATGCACTGAGTCACGTACCGCAGTGCAGAAATTATTTCACGTTCTGTTAAAATACGCGACACGTGCATTCGACATTGGTGATGCAACGAACGATATACAGTTCTAAAATATATAATCATAATTTTAAGTTAAAAATATTTTTTATTGTTAGTAACTTAGTGTAAATGACCTATTTCTTAGTATGCCACAGATTTAGTGCTACCCTAACAAAAAATACTATAGTTAATTATAGTTTACTATAGAATCAAAGTTTTTGTACTATAGTAAATCAAAGTATTTTTACTATGGATTTCAGATAGTTATATTTTTTGTTCTTCAATTCATACATGCTCATTTTTTTTTATAGTAAATGAAACTATTATTTATATACATGTATTCACATATAGTTTCCAAATTTTACATAACGTTTGTCGAATTTAATAGATTCTAAGCTTTGGAATCTCAATAAAAGTTAAATGTAAATTAAAGTGTCAAAGTAATTTTTTGTTAGGGTTATAATGTCAATTTTACTACATCTGTTACTTTTACTATCTGTTACCATGCAATCAGGTGATTTTTTTATTCTCTCAATTTTAGACTACAGTATGAAAACTGTCATAAAAAGGGAATGTTTCTGTTATTGATTTAGTAAAAGAATTTGTTGGAGACAAATGGTTTATTAGTAATACTTTGAGAGGGAAACTCAAGAATAACGGAGATATAATTCTCGAAATGTAAGCAATTCAGTTTTGAATATTTGGGAATTAAAAAAAATAAAAAGAATACTTGGAAAATTACTCTTAAACATGCAGGTAGTCGTTCTGGGTTTGTTGTTTTTTTGTTTGTTTTTGTTTTTTTTTTGTTTTGTTTTTTTTTTTTGACAAGTGAGCTACAGATTTATGGATACAATCCAATCTTGTTAAAAAGTTTTCTTAGTTTTCATAATTATTTAAAACCCATGATATGCACGAAAGGAGAAGTACATGAACTGTAATTATAGCAATTGTTGTACTGGGAATATGAGAGTTTGTAAGTAAATACATGTACATCACCCGTCAAAACAACACAGACTCTTACAGTGATTTGTTAAACGGAAATCAAGTATGTAAACTGCGTCATACTTTTAATTCTTACTAAGAATTATGAAAACTTGAACGAGTGATTCTGTTACGGTAAATAAAGTAGAAATTACTACCAAATCAGGACTCAAATGGGCATAACATATTGTATACAACAAAAATAATTACAGACAATACACAATGAAGAGACAGTCTTTGTGCCTGGACACGCACATTAATATTGGTGATATATATTTCCTTATTTTTTTTTTCAAATATCTACTTGATACTGCAAACACGCATGTATTATATTTTACACAATATACATACACATCTGAACACATATATGTACACATGTCACTATAAATAAATAAATTACTTACTTACTTACTTACATGTATTTGATGCATCAATAAGAGGCAGCAAGAGTCGGTGCCAACGGGTATCATAAACAAAATCTACTTCGGCTTCGTCTGTAAAATATACATATTTATGTTATTTATACTATTAATATACTAATTAAGAGATATATTCCGCGATAAAATATTTTCAGATTCTTTTTAAGAAAAGTAAACGTATAGATCTTCCTGTGAATTTATTCACAAGAGTACAATCAACAACTAAACTATATATGCATTTTTTTGTGTTTTTTTTTTTTCAGAACTAGATGAAGTTTTAACTGTCGATGGTGTTTATAGACTTTTGTTTAGCATAAATGGAGAGATGCCGGGTCCACCTATAGTTGTATATGAAGGGCAAGTGGTAAGAGTAATGAATTCATTATGTAAACCAAATTTTATATATGTCTGACTTTCTGTGAAATAATTACTACATGTAAATACTTGTATCTTGTCTCTGGATAGTAGGAAAAAGGATTTCTTCAGCAAAACTTCTCATCGGAATTACTGTTAATAATCAAATGCAAAGCTTTTTTATTTGAAAAAAAAAACCCCGCAATATCTCTATATATTTTTTCATTCCTTCCTTCTGACTCTTACGAAAGTACATTTATTCTATAAAAGTGCGTTTCACTTAAACAGTGTAACAATTAATTTTCAACAATGAGTACATAACTAAATTAGCCATGTACTCATATGCACTAGCAGTTAAAAATTGTATGATAATTAGTGATAAACAATAGATACATAGATGTATATTATCAATGAAATATAAGTCACAGAAATGAATAATAAAAGATCAATTAAATAATAATAAAACTTACATCAACTAATTCTGATGCGTATTTGATAATAATCGATACATAAAGTACATTTATATACGTGTCATGCAATCAAACATATACACTTTTCATGTATTTTTCCTCTTTTTATATACATGTGTATTGTTAATTGTCATTGACTATTAATTTTCTTTCAAAACTTCACTCTTTCAATAATTGTATCTTTTAATAAACACTACATAAATTAAAAAAAATAAATAATTCTTTCCCGTAACTGAAGGTTTTCTCTAAATTCAGTTCCCTTTCGTGTTGAAAATTGTATACAATTTACAAAGCATTTAACTCATGAGTTAAGAAAATGATCATTTTCTTCCCGACTTCAGATCGAGGTCATGGTGAAGAATAGTTTGTCTAATGAAGCGTTCACTATTCACTGGCACGGAATGATCCAGAAAAACACGCCATGGATGGATGGTGCTTCCATGGTTACCCAATGTCCAATCAACTCTGGCGATTCATTTCTGTACAGGTGTGTATCGATCCCAACTCAAATTCCAATATTCTTGCGCTATTCTCTCTCTCTCTCTCTCTCTCTCTATTAAATTACAAAAATAATGTTTCATTGATTTTATCTCAGAAATATTCAAAAATTAGTTATAATGATTACTGGAAAAGAAGTTTTATTAAAAAAAGGCTTTTTTTTTACTGTTACAATCTTTCGTAAGGTACGTATACACTTGTGTTCCCTTCAGGTTTAAGGCTGAACCACGTGGGACCCATTGGTACCACTCCCATCAGGGTACAATGAGAACAGACGGCTTGGCGGGACCTCTTATCGTCCTCCCGCGGGAGGAGCGGCTAGACATACCGGAAGTAGAGGACGACTTTATTCTGATGATCCAGGATTGGAACAGGAACATATCCTCCTTAGAAAGTCATCAGATTCAACATTACAACATGCACTTGTTAGTAATTTAAACATGGACAAGATACATATATTCTGAATGTTTTTAACTTTTCAATATGATAATATAATTAAATAAATGTAATAGCTCCATCCACACTTTGCAAAGGTTGTGTTCCCTTGCGGGGCCATGCAACCAAAAGGTCAAAAGGGAAAGAAACGACAAACATGCATCTCCTCTTTATCCTATCAAACATTTGGGCGTGCTAGGATGAATCCATCGTGTATAAATTTCTTTCAAAGTATGGGTAGCACCATCCTGGGGCAATCAATACACAAAAAGGAAATACTTTTTCCAGCCAAATGACAAAGTTATAAACCAGAAAACTACACAGCTATTTTGAGGATTCTATGGGTTTTTCCCCAAAGATGACTTCCAAAGGACACAATTTTTGAAAAGTGTGGATTCAACTATCTGAAAAGAGTGTTCTAGGAGTATTCTTGTATTATGCCTATTTGAATATTAAATTCATTTCTTCCATTAAAGGATAAACACTGTGATAATTCTGCAAATCTTTAAGGCATTTCTAACATATTTTATGATATGGCAGATACACCAATGATTTTAATTGTACAAATGACTGTTACCTACCCACCCACACTGCGGATGGGACTAATATGGGCGTAGTACCATTCCACTCGGGACTCATTAACGGAAAAGGTAGGACTTCTCTTTCATTTACCTTCAACTCTAACCCCCCCCCCCCCCAAAAAAAAAATCCTCGTAAACTAAAATTAACTTTAGTGAATCAATATATCAAAGCATTTACAATAGAAAATCAAATATCAAAGGGTTTACAATTATACACTGTAGTAAGTGAATTAGTCAAAGTATGTACATGTATATACAAAATGTAATGTACTAAAGTAAATCTTAGTATAAACAATTTTACAATTATTAAATCAAAGTATGAAGGTTTTTACAGTCACAGAATCAAAGTATCATTTTTTTTTTTTTTTTTTTTTTTTTTACAAAACTAGTACAGTAATTTAAAGTATCAAGGGTTTAGCAATTATAGTAAGTCAAGGCATCAAAATTTTAAATTAAGTAAATCAAAATATTTTAAGATTACGAAATTAAATTGTTATATTTCATAAATGTCAACTCTAATAAAGATATCTTTTAACATTTAAAGAAAATTACTTGTTTTTTTTTAAATATCATTACCAGACATATATGTTCTACCATTGATACAGAATTGAAGAGAAAAAATAATTCTATAAATCTAAACAAAGGTTCCGAAGTATTTTTATGGTAAATTAAAGTTTCATCATAATAGTAAAGTTTCAAATTGTCATAGTAAATCACATTAAAATATCAAAGCATTAAAAAATAAACAATAGTTAACTTTAGTAAGATGTAAAATATAGTAAATTCTTTTTAGGAAAGTATTCATAAATGATAAATAGAAGTAGAAGAATTTATAGATTGTGTGTGTTTAGTTTGTATCTAGTATGTCAATCTACATCGTATATTGATCCCATGCTACTTTATAATAAAGTAAATTTCTATAAACATTCAGATCTTGCGCCAAAAGGCAGTCTTCTTTTTCACAGATTTGCAGATATATTAACGTGTTTGTTAAAATAGTTATGATCGACGTAATGTATACCTATATTGAAATTAACATTATTTTCATTTCCATTTCGCATAAAAGCTTATCACTATTTTTTTTTATTGTGCAACTATATAAAAGAGTCTTTTAACAGGTCACTATTACCCACATAAGTCATATAATCCATTAATTCCGGAACTTCCCATAGAGACATTTAAGGTGAAACCTGACAAGTACTATCGCTTCCGGGTCATCAACGCCGCCATGATGTTTTCTTTCCGGTTCTCAGTTGACGAAGTATAATCTTTTTCTAAAGCTTTAATTACACTGTGTTGTGCTCATTCTTATTAGGTATAATGTGCATTCATTTGATAAAATAATGGTCTAACCATAAAAAATCCCAATTTACTTGTAACTGCAGAGAGAAAGTGTTTTTCAATAATATTAAAATTTGAGATATGAAAAAAAACGTTGAATTTATCAAGCTAATTTTGTTAGAAATAATTGGCTAACTAATTTATTCTTAATTTTTACCGTCATATTATTTAAGTTACTCTTTTGAATTGAAGCACATGATCCATGTTATTTCTACCGACGGAAATGACGTAGAGATGGAGACTGCGCAGTCAGTGATCATTTCTAGCGGTGAACGTTTTGACATCTTGGTAAAAACAGATGGGGACCCTAGAAAGAACTACTACATTCGTGCAGAAACAACTGAAGTTAAAAACAGACATAATGTAAGTTATGGTTGATTTACATGCGGAACTAGATAAGCATTGAAACTTCACTATACCGATAAAAAGTGGAAAGATAAGGCCAACTGTAAAATAATGTTTGCTTGCCCTCTCCCGACCCAGGATGAAAAATTTGGGTCGGTAGGTACATGTAGGTGGTGAATTTTTTTCCTAGAAAATTTCAACATCAATCCTGAATTTTTAAAATATATTTTCCGGAATGCATAAAAAATAATTGCTTCCTTGAGGTTAAATAAAGTTTTGAGTCGGGCCTTTTTCAGCCAGTCGATCGGAAGAGGGCAACCAAACAATTTTTTAAAGATGGCCTTAGCTAAAATTTTATTTATCACCAAAGAGCATTACTGGTACATGTAATTGACAATATTTTGACGGTCTGATATTCCTCCATACACGATAGCACTTTAATTTGTTACATGCATTATTTTATGAGGTTTTTTTTCTGATATGAAAATGTTAACTTGAAGTATGTTCTTGGTGAATATACGTGGGGAATACATTATTTTTCAAAACTGTTCATTTTCTAGAGCCGTTTTACCACAAAAATCTTTTTGAGGAAAAGCAAAAGCACGTGTTCTTTTTTGTTCTGTTTGTTGGTGCTGATTGGTCAGCAATATGTTCATGTATATGAAGTACATGTATATTCATAGCAACTTTCAGTTTTCATTTATCTTCCGGACCTGTTACTTTTCTGACACATTTCTCTTGCTTTTGATGAGAATTTGACTATGAATGATGTACTCAAATGTTTGAAACAGTTTGCTTCTCACGTATCAAAGAAAATAGATGATCAAATTTAGATGAAAAGCCATTTTCCAGAAAACATCAATATCAGCAACTATAAAAGAAGGAATCTTTGATCTTAAATATTAACGAAATTGAAAGATGAAGACCTTGTAGTAAAAAAAAATATTCCTGCATCAGATTCGAGAACGTTTACCGAAAATAGATGATCAAATTTAGATGAAAAGCCATTTTCCAGAAAACATCAATATCAGCAACTATAAAAGAAGGAATCTTTGATCTTAAATATTAACGAAATTGAAAGATGAAGACCTTGTAGTAAAAAAAAATTCCTGCATCAGATTCGAGAACGTTTACCGAAAAATACGTTAACATATTGATTTTCAGCAAAGTCCCTGATGTATCAGTTTTGGTATTTTTGATCCTTACAAGAATATTTGATACATATTTTATGCCTTGAATGACATTTCATCTAAATATGTAAAAAAAAGAATTAAAACTGTCGCTTAATTTTACATTTAATGGTAAATCTGATTGTCTAGACATATTTGTATTTACATGCGCACACCTCTATCGCTCCCATCCATTAATTACGAGCACCTACACAAGAAGAGTTATATATCTTTGTTAAAAAAGTATTTTAAGAGCATTGCATAGGCAATGCTGAGTAACCTTTTGGCATGGGTTGTCAAAAAATCATGAAATTTTATACTGTAACTCACAAAACAAACAAAAATAAATCATCTCTTGCAAACGCTTAGAAAAAAAAAACTGACAAGACAGACAGAAAAACAAACATAAGGACAATAATTTATAGTAAAAAAATGTTATTGTAAGTTATCTTTCATGTATATGAAACACCCTTCTCGAAGTTTTCTGAGTCACCGAGATTAATTTTAGGAGGAAATTTATCCTGGAAGGACTTTGGCTGTTTTAAGATATGAGGATGCACCCGAGGAATTGCCAAAGACCACACGCCATGAGTGTACAAGAGAAAGAGTGTGTAAAGTCCTCAATTGTCCATTTGAGTAAGTGATCTATGCAATGCAAATACAGGAGTAAATATTATCTGGACTTTGTCATGGTAGATCCACTGAGTACATGTATGTAACACTTATTTGATTAAAGTTCTTTGGTCCTCTAATAAGAGAAGTAACGCTCACTAATATAAATGCTTATTATTCTTGAATAAAACTACCAAGTAAATAGGGCATTTCTTTCATGTTTTGCCCCACAAGATATGCTGAAATTTTTATGCATAATAATAGATAAGATTTCCTTTAAAAGGTTTTTAATGATAAAGCAAGAAGTGAGGGACAAAGATTTTTAGTCATAATTGGTAAAAAAAAAATGAAAAGCGGAGAGCGCATGCTAAGATTGAGCAATGACAATGATTTGCTGTACACATGTATAGTTAGATAAATCCTTTTTTTTTTATTTTGACCATTTTTACAGACTATGAAACTGTTTTCACTTTGTTTATTTCTTTGTTTTGCAGACTGTACCCTGCAGATGCTAATATCATGTGCATGTCCACTGCTGACTTCCGGTCCACACAGGAAATGGTCAGTAGACAACCGGTTCCAATGCCACCAAGGGGTGAGGAAATTCGGGAGGATTTCCTTAACTTTCACTATGCTGGTATGTTTTTACTATATAAAGGATTTTTTGTCCATATATTATACATGTAACTTATGCAGCATATGGATTGTAGTAGTGCTTGCATTTCAGAATAGTCTTATCAGAAATATATGAACATATTTTCTTAATTTTTTTTTTGGTACGTACTATTTTTGTAGTATGAACTATTTTTCGTACAGGTATCAAATTTAATGTCTAAATTTCAACTACATGTAAATGAAAAATTAACAAAATTATAGGATCTTTAAACTTACCTTAAAATTGCCTGTCTTAGAATTTTTTATGTACATGTATACAGGGTTTGTTTTTTTGTCTCATACTTCACAAAGTAAATAACCGAATTGAAAACAGGAATTATTCATAATTTTTTTTATCAGTTAGTTATGTGCAAAATTAATTCAAAGTTTGACTGTTTCAAAATAAGACTGGCAAAAAATAACGCTGTTATATAACATAAAATGCCATCACAAAGCACAAAATTGATGGATGCTTTATTATATGGAACACTAAATTAAATATACGTGTATTCAAATATTTGTAACAGTTAACCTATCTCTACATAAATTGAAGGTATAGGTATGATTTGATATAACAAAGTTCGAAATGAACTAAAGATAGAATGATGTAAATAATGAATATTTTATATCTATCTCGAATTCTTGTTATATGTGCCTGTCGTCCATGGAATTATACATGTACGTTTCTTCAAATCAAAGGGTTGTACTTTTTTCAAATGAATTAAATATACAGTGTAGGTATAATTCAATTTTACACATAGTGCATTAAGAAATAAGTACTTTTGATTTTAACATACATTTGAATATGTTAATTTTGCGTTCCATAATCCATACGTGTACATGGAATTTGCCAGTGCTCGAGGAATTTGCCAATGCTCAATCTTACAGCAACAAAAGGTGGGGGGGGGGGGCATCTAAAGGAAAATTTACTATAGCAAAATACTATACTCAGAAAAAGTGGAGGAGGAGCCCCCCCCCCCCCCATGCCCAACCCGCTTTCTACGGGCCTGATCTTGAAATAGTTGAAACTAGCGGTCTCCAAATAAATACAGTCAGTATGTCGGGGCCACAAAAGGGGATCGAAGTTTAACATAGGAATATATAGGAAATGTCTATAAAAATGTTCCTTTCAAAATCAGCAAAGCCATGATAAGTCATATTAGAATAGAAGTATCCTCAGGTAGTGTTGATTCAAGTTTGTTCCAATCATGACCCCTGGGGGCAAGACAAGGCCACAACAGGGGTCAAAGTCTACCATAGGTATTTATAGGGAATATCTTTAAAAATCTTCTCAAGAACAGCTAAGACATTATTAGTCATATTAATACAGAAGTATCTTCAGGCAGTGTAAATTCAAGATTTGTTCAAATCATGACCCCTGGGGGGTAAGGCGGGGCCACAACAGTTGGTCAACGTGTTACATAGGAATATATAGGTGTAATGGTTAAGGGTCATTTGAGTAGAACTCATTGAAGACTTCAAAAAGTGGAATGAACTGACAACCATTGGAATGGACTAGCCAAAGTGTATATAAGGCAAAGCTTGGGGAAAACGGGCATTCAGAAACTAGCTGAAGCAGTTGGACGTTGAATCAGCAATAAAGATGTTAATAAAAGTTCTAAAACCAGTGGCAAGTATCCTAGGGAATTGATGTTAACTATCTGAAGAAGATTGAGACACCTGGTTCTTATCTATCAATGGGAACCTAGGGGAGAAACACAGTGCAAGTAGTACGCACCTTACTCAGTCTCTAAATAAGAGAAAATTCAAGTACTGTGTGATATACCCTCAGACAGAGCTGTCTTAATGATCATTCCAATCATTAACTCAGACAGAGTGAAAGGAAAACCTATACATCTCTTGTAAGAACCTGATCATACACGTTAAATAGGAAATGTCTTTATAATCCTCTTTTTAAAAACAGCCAAGCCATTATTAGTCATCTTTATGACACCCCAGGCTTTGGGGGCACAGCAGAGGGTCAACGTTTTTTAAAAGAATATACAGAAATCATCTTGAAAAAATCTTCTGCTCAAGAACAGCAAAACCATGAGTAGTCATATTATAATAGAAGCATTATCAAATTTGTTCAAATTTAGGGTGATAGGGTGGGGCCGCAATGAGCAATCAGAGCACATAAGGAAAAAAAATCTTTAAAATTCTCCTGTATAAGAACAGCAAAGCCATGACTGGTAATATTGATATTGAAACTATCCTGAGATAGTGTAAATTTAAGTCCGTTCCGTTCAATACTGAACTGATTTCTGCTTCTTCCATGCCCATGTGCTCAGGTGAGCGATGTGGTCCATGGGCCTCTTGTTAAAAAGATATCAACGTTTTATACAGAAATAAAGGAAAAAATACTATTGTAAATAAGTAGTATATAAAAATAATTAAATAAATAAATATATGTGGTTACGTAAAATATATATAAAACTGTATAATTTATTTAATTTGGAACTATATTTTTTAGCAATTAGGACGTAAGCACATAATTTTGTCATGATATGAAAACATTCTTTAAAAAATTAAACATGGATTCAAGTCTTTAAAAATCTCTTGACAGATGATACAGTAATTTCTGATACATGTCGTACAAAAAGATCGTCACATCTTTTGACCTTAAGCTATCGAGTATATGAATCCAACACCAAATAATTAATTAAATAAAGTTTTCGTGTTTCGTGACTGTAATTGAAATCTTGTTATTATCGGTAATTACATATGATATAAACACACGGAGAGTGTATTAGAGGTACATTGTATTATTTTGTAATATTTTGAAATAAGTAAGTCAAGATAATGAGGGTTTTTTTATATACTTTAGTCTACATTCTAATAATTGGATAAAATATCATTTATACTACATTATTATATATAGCCAACAGAAGCAAAAAAAAAAAAAAAATCTGACTACTATCATTAATGACATTTGTAAAGTGAATATATACCTTACAGATTCTATTTAAGGACCCCAAAATTAAAGAAATCTGTAAAATAGTTTGTGCAGGCTTAATCATAACATTTTACCATAAAATTCACCTATCAATGCAGCCTTATTCTTTTCATTATTCCCAAATTTATACCTTAAAAAGTTTATATCTACATGTATATTGAAATTCAATTCAAAAACATGAAGACCTTTGACCTTGAATAATACATTAGCAACATTGTTTTGACAATGTATGATTTATCACATGTGTACTCCTTCATACGGTGGATATCGGTCATATAACATCGTTTTGATATTAATAGTTGTGACGTCACAATATGGTATGCGTGAAAGTTATAAAGTCAAATTAAGCTATGTGTTAAACATATGATAAAAACAATCTCTCATGATTTATGGTGTGATAGGATTTTTATTCAGATCTTGCGTTTTTTATCCTCTCGTCAAGGATAAATAACCACACAACTCGTTGGATAAAAATCATATCAAATCATAAACCACGGTATATCCTATATAAGGCCGTATTTATTTAAGGAATGTTTTTAAGTTTTGTGTGAGTTATTGGTGTGTAAATCACACAGACTTGTCACGTAGGCATATTTCATGAAGCGCGCTACACACCAATAATTCACACAAAACTTAAAAACATTCCTTATATTTACATTTTACAAGTTTAAAAGCACCAATAATATACTCAATATTTGAATTTCTTGCTGCCCTATATCGTTACATTTTTATTTACGTCTCTGTAGCCTCATTGTGACGTCACTTTAGCGCGAGTTTCATCGTGTATATTTCTACGCGTGAGTATACACAAAAATGACTTTCAAATCAATTTCACAGTTGGCTTAGTAGAAAAACACAGCAAATGTAAATATATAAATTTATTTTCTACTTCACTCTGTTCATCCGCAAATAAAACATTTCTTTTCTAACTCATAATAACAAATCAAGAATATATTAACTTACAATGTTTATTAGATATGAGTCATGTACCCAGCTCTGATTTAACATAATATTTCGCGTAATCTTTCCTATGATATACAATATTAAAATATTAAGATTAAGTCTTCTTGCATTGTCTCCCTCTAAATGGTAGTGTGAATTAATTTTAATGACGATGTACAAGGTAAATAGCGTTATAGGTACCTATAATATACAATCCAAATATATAATCTCATGATATATTCTTCTCATTAAAATTATGCTGCAAATTCTGGACATCCTAAACTACAATGAAAAATATATTATAAACAACTTACAAATAAACAAAAAAATGTGTTCGATATCAATATTCATGGCATTGTCGCTATATATAGCTGAGTACTAACTCCAATGACCAAAGCACTCTGAGACCGGATTTAAATACTCTTGACCTAAGCACACAAAAATAAGTGCACAAAAACATTACGCTTTACATTTATAATATTATGAAAACGAAAAGAAATTTAAGTCCCCACCATAAAACGTCCGAGTCAATAAGCGATCTTTCGGGACATTTACTTGTGAAGTAACATATCTATCACTCAAGTATTTAAAGTACAGTGATACGAAAGTGTGCTAGTCTCGATAATACAGAGATCTAGAACATTATGAATTTTGAAATGGACAATTAAGATAGTGTGATTAGATTAGATTATATTCAGAAGAAACCGTTAAATCGTTAAATTACCAACTCTTCCCTTCTGAATTTGCATGACGCAGTTGCCGAACATATACTCAATAATAGTTGCTGTAAATATCCATTACTTAGTCAGCTTAATCAGCTTACATCTAATGGTAAAACTAATGCCGTATGTCTTCAAAATGAAGATGAACAATATACATGTAAGATGATAAATTTTGATTTTTGTTACTTTAAAAAAAAGACTTGAGTATTGTTAACAATTTTAAGACTATATGTATTTCTAGCAGGTTTTGTTAAAATTTAGTTTATTGAAATAAGGATAAATAAAAAAATAAGTTTGAATAAAAATCTATCTGACAAAACGTACCCCTTTGAACCATGAGCAAAATAATGCAAACATTGATAAATTTGTTTCAGTAACAAAATTTTAAATATATTTATGGTATACTTATTCCTTACTTCAAGGTTCTTTAATGTTATTAAAAAGAAAATTTAAAAAAATCAGAACTGAAGATATAATGCCTTGAATGTTTGGCTAAATAGGCCAGTTCAAATGACATGTTTATGATAAAGTTTATTATTTTCAGGAGATTCCCTACATCTAATAAATATTTACAAAAGTCAGTACCATCTGAAAAGAACACGAAGTGTTTTCTAGCGGGGGCTTTCGTTTTACAAGCATGTTAATGTCATTTATACGTACTTCTTCTGCGTGTTAGTGCTAAAACACTGTCTATTGTCCAATTACTGGTCTCCTTAATTACTAAATACGACCATTTGATATTGTTAAGTGTCAGTGTTTCCAAAGCAATTTAAGAGACTTTTTTTCACTTATAGCCATCAATAAAAAATGCACGCTACATACTTTCCACTTAAGAGATAAAGAAAAGTGGATTTTCATATAAGTGCACACATGCAGGTGCGTGATAATTAATTCCGAAAAGTTGACATTTATATTAATGCAAATGTTTCAGGTAAGAAAGGAAGTCCTTTCATGGCTGCCATTAATGGGTATAAGTTCGAATTCCCCACCTGCCCCCCTCAGGTAAGTGTTTTGCATTGAAAAAGAAAGTGTTACTTACCTCTACAAATTGTTACTTACCTCTACAAATTGTTACTTACATGTATCTCTACAAATTATTACTTACATGTATCTCTACAAATTGTTAATTACCTCTACAAATTGTTACTTACCTCTACAAATTGTTACTTACATGTATCTCTACAAATTGTTACTTAAATGTGCCTCTACAAATTGTTACTTACATGTATCTCTTCAAATTGTTCCTTACCTTTACAAATTGTTAATTATCTTTAAAAATTGTTAATTACCTCTACAAATTGTTACTTACATGTATCTCTACAAATTGTTACTTAAATGTGCCTCTACAAATTGTTACTTACATGTATCTCTACAAATTGTTCCTTACCTTTACAAATTGTTAATTATCTTTAAATATTGTTAATTACCTCTACAAATTATTACTTACAGGTACCTCTACAAATTGTTAATTACATGTATCTCTACAAATTGTTACTTACCTCTACAAATTGTTACTTACCTCTACAAATTGTTAATTACATGTACCTCTACAAATTGTTACTTACATGTATCTCTACAAATTGTTTATTACATGTATCTCTACAAACTGTTAATTACCTCTACAAATTGTTAATTACCTCTACAAATTGTTACTTACATGTACCTCTACAAATTGTTACTTACATGTACCTCTACAAATTGTTAATTACATGTATCTCTACAAATTGTTACTTCTACAAATTGTTACTTACATGTATCTCTACAAATTGTTACTTACCTCTTCAAATTGCTACAGATAACATATGACCCACCAGCGCGCACCTGTTTCAATGACTGCCAGGACCACGACTGCGAGGCTTATTGTGAATGTACTCATACCCTCAAATACGATCAGCTACCACTGAACGCAGGAGTACAGATGGTCCTAGTTAATAAAGGTTAGTCAATTTTCATCTTTGAATTGAATAAGAAACAAATAAATAGAAACACAAACGATGTAGATGTAATAAGCAAAAAATATCTAAAATCTCTTGGGTAATTACAAAGGTAATGTTAGCAAATACATTGGTTTGATTAGGAATTGATTAGAGTGGTGATTCTATCCAGTGTAGAAAAAAAAGAAATAGAAAAAATATGTGACGAATGAAGATTATTCTCATCTTCTGATTAATGAAAAAATGAGATTCTTTTCTGATAAAAATTAAGAATACCTGTTATTAAGCAAGGTATAAATAACGTGCTTAACTTCAGATACATTTATTGGTGCTACAAATCACCCCATTCACATACATGGCCATCACGTTCACATCCTTAAGATTGGCTACCCGGAAGTGGACCACGAAACTGGATTAATTGTGAATGACACACCCGACATTAGATGTGCAGGGAAAGATTGTAAATATCCGAGCTGGATACGTGACGATTGGGCAGGAGGGAATGCCCCAGGTCTTAATCTTAAGAATCCTCCATTAAAAGACACTGTTGTGGTACCACGAAAGGGTTATGTTGTGCTGCGATTTCCTCTTGATAACCCGGGTAAGCCTACATAAAAAAATACTCATTATGTACATCGCAAACTTTCTATTGCTTGAACTTATATTCAAAATGAACAGTATGATCTTCTTATCAATAAAACAATACATGTACAATGTAGGATACTGGTACATGCATTGTCATATGGAGGCCCACCAACTTGAGGGGATGACCATGATTATCAAGGAGGGTCTTCATTCTGACCAGAAGAAACCTCCCAAGAATTTCCCAACCTGTGGGGATTATACATGGTCATTCGACGAATATGAGGATATTGTCAACAGCCCTACCGTTGGACTAGGAGCAGTGTTAAAAAATGGCGCACAGAGTGGTAAGGGAAACCATTTGTATTCCAGAATTTTACTTAGGTACAAGTAAGAAATGCTTGAAGTTAAAAAATTTTCCACATTTGATGTAATTCTTTTATTTTAAAAAATATATTGTCAACATTTGTATAAAATTTTACTTACTGTAGCGAATAAAGAAGTGATTACGATATAAATTATGAAACCAATTCTGTAATTCAACAACGTAGAAGGTTTACTTCGATAATCACCAAAATTTAAATGCAGAACATTAAGAAAAATCATCGTTAAATTAATATTTTTCTGGCCTTTTCTATCATATTATAATTTTAATTCACTTCAGTTAAAGTCCTCAACCTTTCAGTCAAGCTCACAATTTACAAATCCGTTGACGATATCGAAATCTTCAGCTTAAACATTTAAAGTGTACACAGCGACAAACATTTTTGATGCATTTTAACTATTGTAAGTTTTTATTTTTTTCTGTTTATAACATCTGGCTGAAATCAAAAGTTTGAAGTCAAAATTAATGTTCATGTTTGTTTTAGAATACACCAAAGAATCAGCTACAGGGGACCAGTCCACGGATGCCCAGAGTTACGCGTCACAGACAACTGTTACTATTTTGATTGTCGCCCTTTCTGCCACGGTTCTCTGCCTTGTGGTAGTCCTCATCAAATTAGTTCGATGTAACCCTACACAGATCATTGTGCGCAGAGAATCGTACAACGAAGGAGTCAAATCCCTTTCCTCCAAACTAAATGGGACCGACAGGCAACCATTGCTGTCTTCTAGACCCAAAGTAACAGAAATAGAAATATGATAGGAACTCTCTAATGTTAATCTTACTCGATGATTTTGAATCTCTACAAGTAAATTTAAATAATTATCCCCCCCCCTGGCTGCCAGTCATGTATTTACTGTTTTCTTTATGTCAAAACATAGAAAAATTGCCCAAAGATCGACTTGAATCGAAAAATTGTGTGATTGCGTATTACTTGTAACTGTTAAATCTGGCATTAGACAAAGGTGAGGAGAAATTTGCTTTTCACCCGAAAGGAATGGGGTATGGATGGTTTCCTTAACAATTATAAATTTTAATTTGTTCTTCTCCAGATAACCTCCCTTTTTTGGTACAATTGACAGATTCTGAAATTTTATTAAACTGAGAAGTTCACTCTTGTTGTCCTCTGTATACAGTTACATGTAGCATAATGAAATGATAAATAATATATACCTGTATTATTTAGATAGACAATCTAACTTAGACTGTTTGAATACCAATTTATGATTTTTTTTCTCATTTATGGCTAAAGATGATGATGCACAAAAATACAAAAATAGAGAGCCATTGTGTTTTAATTTCTATGGTATGAAATGTGCAATATGTGAATTATGAATCATTTGAAGACAGGGCAATCTTTTACCATCCTCCTACGCAGCAAAAGCGGAAGAATAAAATGTTCCTTAATTTGTTATTCATATATGTCTTGTTTATCACAAGAAGCATTTTGAAAAGCAATTGTCAAACGCTTTTAAGTTAGTATGCATTTCATCAATTTGAAAACTTGAATTTTATATTTTTTCTATCTTCCGCTAAGCTTGTTGCCGTACTAACGATATAAAACAAGAATTTTTGTTTTCCGTCAGATTGCATTTTACTGTACTGGAAGTGTAAAATTAATTGTATTAAAATGCTAAAAAATCTTTTTAGATTTTATAATTAGAAGTACGAAATATATGGAGATAACGAAAGGTATTCAAACTCAAGAGTCCATTCAAACAATACAAATCAGGAGCAGAGCAAACATCAGAGATGGGATCAGGTGCCATGGAGGAGTGAGCATCCCCTGCCGACCGGTCACATCCGCCGTAAGCTCATTGTCATGATCGGGAAATGAGGAAAAATCCATCGACAATTTAGTGTGTAAATAATGGTCTAACAACTAGTATGAAAAACGGCAGTCAGCATTTGACTTATTGATAGATTGTACTTGCTGACAAGGTCATTTTATCGACCATAGAACTTACATGAATGGATATCTTTTTTTCTTACTTGACAAATCTGCATTTTGTCTGATAGAGCAGGCCATTAGCTCGGCCTAGAAGCTGTTGCAGATCTGGTGAAATAGTGGAAATAGTCCACCGACTTTTCAAAATTTAGACTGTCCCTGTGTCACAAGCTGAGCCCAATATGCAAGTTGTATGCGTTTTCATTTTAAGAGCCTCAAATGCCTCAAGGGACTAGAACATGATAATTTTGTGTAGAGAGAGCTAAGAATTTCCAGTTCACATTTTATTATTAGCTCACCGTAATAGTGAGCTCAGTAGTTCACTAATATGGAAATGTCAGCCAAACGAAATAGAAAATGTCTTTTGGCACCAGAGAACAAAAATAATCATGATTTTATGAGTAACTTGTTCAAAATTTTGTTTGTACACGTCCTAGTAACTTCCAACTTCAAAGTTCGAAATCTTTTTTTTTTATTTTGTAGTTTATTTAGCTGCACTTTTAAACACAATATTAATCGCAAAGATATAAGGGCAGTGAATATTATGATTTTGATCGTAAATTGCAAAATTTGGTGGGAATTGAATGAATTGAGACATTTACATATATACAGTTAATTTACATGTAGTAGTGTGAAAATAGAAGGAGAGTGATACTTATTAGTGTAGCTTAGAAATAAAATTTTATTGGGTCCAAGCTCTTCACCAAACTTACCTGATGAAAAAAAAATATTTTCGAAACTCTGAACTTTTTGTTAAACAATAATGTTCGGGAATTGTGTTTTAACTGAAGTAAGAGTAAGTCAAGTTAACATTTGCTTTGGAGAATTGCTTACTTCTCCATGGTACCTTATCCCACCTCTGATGTTTTTAGAGGTCTGTGCTTGCTCTCCAAATCTGTATTGTTTCAATGGAATTATGAGCTTGATTACTTCGTTATCTTCACATTTCATTTCACCATGACATAACGAGTGATTAGGGCAGGGCTAATCACAAAGTTAATAACAGATTAACTCAGATCAACGAGATGTAAATTACATACAGAGTGGCCACTGCATTTTTATTTATATGTAATATATATAGTTAAGTTCTATTAATTCAAAATACATCGATGTCATTATGACAGATGAAAGCTATCCGAGTAATTTTTATTTACTCCAACATTGTGAATTAACAAAAAATCTATTCAAAATAAGATGGCTTAAGAAGATACTCAAGGGAACATATGAAATCACTCTCTCTCTCTCTCTCTCTCTCTCAGTGTGTATAGATTGATACATAAGTTTATGTCGGCAAAGCAAAGAAAAGTATACATTGCTTTTTATACATAACCTCGACATTGATACACACACGCGTTATAAAAATAAATCAAGTTAAGTAATGACAAGAATAGATATGGGTTACCCCATATCCAAGATATTCGACTTTTAATTTATTCGAATTTTCATTGTGCTCAGATGATTTCTAATTTAAAAAAAAACTATTTACTGATAAAACGTCAGAGATACTCAAGCTGTAGAAAGTCAACTATACAATGGCCATAAAGAACCTAAAATGACATAATATTTAGGCTACTGAGTTTCAACATCTTTTGTTGAATAAAATATGCATGTACTAAGGAAACTGCATGTACATACATGTATATAATATAACGATACATGCGATTAGTGACTTTTATTATCACAACGTTGCAGATGCTTATAGAAATAGTTTTAATTTCACATAGAATATAGACTAAATATAATTAACCATATAATTTTAAAGATGTATTTAACAGCTCACTCATTTTCAGGAATATTTAATCCAAATAGCATGTTACAGGCAACGTTTTCAAAGTGAAGGGGGGGGGGGCTCCGAAAAAATCCCGCGTACTATGGGCCTGTGCTACATGTGTACCATCTAACTTTCCAATGATAGAATCTTCTGTAAAAATTCGAAACAAGTCCAAGCAAAGATCAAAGATAGCCCAATTTTTTATATAGCAAAACTATAGATCTATCAAGGATAGATTTTAATTTATTTTTTAATTTTGTGCTATTAAAGTACTATCACTCAAAGTATAGGCAGATGTTAAAGATGGGTCAACAAGAGTAATCAATGAACTTGTCTAGAGATACATTGACGGCCGTTGTTAAACGCAAAGGAAAGCGCGAGATCGGTTGCGGCGGTGGAGCATCACTCCTTCGTCAAAGAATAAAATCCGACATTTAACACTTTATATAGATTTTGAATATAGAGAAGTTTTGAAGATAGACTTCATTTTTGTTTCTAGAAATGTTTTTATTTTCAAAAATAGTATATTTTCGTGTTTTTAAACTGAATAGACCAATGACCTAGCATCGTTTTAGGTAACTCAGCCCCTCTAGCCCAGTCTAGGGCTTGAGTAAAAAACCTGCACTTGTTATGAAACTGATGTATAGTTCTTCTTCATGTCCGTAGCAAATACTGATACCCAGTCTACATGATCTAAGCGTCACTAGCGAACGGTGCACATACCTGTGCTTGCAAGACCAAATAGACTAGGTTTACACACGTGCGAAGATCCTTTCAGACGAGCTCGGCAAATCACGTTGCTTTGCCGAGAAGTTACGATTGCAGGTGTTTAACCACATAATTACCATTCCGTTATTTAAAAAAAGAGAAAAAACACACACACAGTTAATGATTAATATTCTCACTCAAAAGAAAATATACGGCAATTAACGAACAATAATCATGACAGTTATATAATTGGTGAAAAGATTTATCACTATCAATCGAAGGATGACCTATATATTTTCGTGAAAAAGACTGAGGAGGCAGCGAGCGTAGGAATATGAAAACTTTTTATTTCCTTTTCTGGGGAAAAGTGATTTTCTTAAAATCTTTTTACGTTAATTTTGTTTTCTTTAACGTATTGAATACACATCATTATTCTTAACATTTGTTGTAATGTTGTATCTACTGATCATGAATGGAACTATTTTCTTCGGAGCAATTGTGTGAAGAGTACCTGACTTTAGTAATATATCTTGAATAGATAATATGCACTGATCGAATATATTAAAAATGTATGTGTGATCAGTGCCCACCCAGTAACTACTCGAGTAGTGTGTAATTCTGTGAAATAAATATAATCATATCTAAACAATAATTCAAGCATCAGTGTCATGACACGAGTGCCTTCCACAAAGACATGTTATTAACAGTCTATACTAATTACCACAGTAGCAACTGAGTATTGAGAATCAAAATACATTTCAAGAAGAACAGACTGCCAGTGATATTATCAGTTCAAAAGCTACTAATAAGCCTGTTGAAAGGATTTAAATCCCTTGCCTAACGGAATACTACCGGTACTTTAGCAACCACTACTTTCACCCAAAAGCCAAGCTGTGAATGAGAGAAAAATAGAATCATCTAATAGAAAGCAACGAGGAGAAAAAAAAATTCACCACAAATTCTAAAAGCAATACGAATGATGAGAATTCCAAATAATATTTCCATGAACGGCTTTTCTTTCTTCTTCGGAAATGTTTCGCCAAATGGTTCTCGTCCAGAAATCGCAATTATAAATGATTCACTGATTTACCTCGGCGTCATAATGCTAGTGGAGAACTTGATTTCCATTGTCATTCTGAACAGATGCACACGGCTCAATTTCCAAATCAAGATTTTGTCGACAAATTTGGCATTTTCTGATCTTTTCACGGGAGTTTTCTTGCTTATTCCGTTTTCGTCCATCCACGAGCAATTACAATGCAATATACAGAAGTATCCAGTTTTCCTATTCTATAATGTCTCTCTTCTCACGGTTACAATGATGAACTTAGATCGCTGTTTTGTTTTTGTTTTTGCAATGAGATATTATACTTTTATTACAAAAAAGCTTCTTATCGGACTTTGCTGTTTTTCATGGATCATAGGATTTATTATGTCTTATGGAATATTTTTTGGATATGATTACAGATTCGGTTTTTCTTGCGAATTGCTGGCTTATTCCACAAGAAATATAGTTAATATTACTTTCAAGTGTATAATGCTAGGGCTTGTATTCGATGTTCCTATCTTTGGATACCTTTTGCATGCTTTTCGCAACAGTCTTGTCCGTGTTCATCAGAGAAATACAGCTCTTTCTTGTCGAGAACAATCAAAACTTTTTCGTAAAGTTTCAGTCGTAACTGGGACATTTTTGGTGACTTTCTCTCCTTATATGTTAGTGTTTACCTTTCCAATACTGGATAAATCAACAGAAATAGGGAGAACACTTTATCTCGTTTTCGCAGTTGTGGTTATTTTGAACAGCGCTTGTAACCCTCTGTTCTACGTCTGGAGATTCTCGGAACCTCGATATTTAATGGTGCGCTATCTCTGCTTCTGGAACAAACGGTGGACTGAAAAATTGAAAAAGAACCATAATCTAAACAATGCAACTTATGTTATAAATATAAAAGAAACAGATCGACAGTTGCAGGATTGATTATTGTGGAATTTCAAAATGACGCTAAAAGCTAATTGAAGGAAAACAAGCAAATTCAGAGAATTTTATTCATCCTCTCGCTTTTGTTTCGTTTTTGGTTGGGGTGAAATTATGTACGCATATTGTGTAACTGTCTTATCTTTACTGTCCTGTTTTCTCTGCCACTCATAAAGTTACAACCAAGATTTAAGTTTATGAAAACTGCTTTATAACTCCAAGGTAAAAAAAATTATAATACTTCCAGAAAGGTCATTGACAATATGAAAATCATGTTTCTTCCGTTGCAAAAGCTATTTCCAGTATTAAAATGTTTCATGATTTATCATTCATTCTTTAAACATTCAGATATTGTGTTCACTGTCAAAATTAATGTAATAAAGAAAAAAAAAATACTGTTATTTTTTTAGTCAATTGCTGATTCTCAAGAATTTAACCCTCCCTACACTCCTTGGACCTGCTGGGAATCCGGATTATGCTGAGTTTATGTCTATAGATGTGTTGTGTTTTTTAAACAGGTTATTACTTGTCTCAACCTGTGCTCATCTTTCTTAAATCAAAATTTAAAGCGACTTAAAAGAAAATGAAATTGTAATTTAATTGCTGTATTTTTTGTGCCCCGGTGATATAAAAGGTTTTTGTATATAGATGGGAGTTACCTATTAACCAGGCTCTCTGGAACTGTTATCAGACAAAGGTAATATACAAGAGAAGTGAATACAGATACTAATATCTCGCTAAAGTATGAACGGGATAAGTTTTGACACCGACAAATTCAAATTATTGCAAATATTTAAATATTTATTTCATACATGTTATTAATCGTGTTAGTAGACTCATGACTAATTGCAATCTCCCCTCCGTTCAAATTAAAGTACGTTTATACTGTGAAAATATCTTTGGTGTAGATGAAAGTAGCTGGTACACTTTTAGTAAATTGCAATCAGCACACTGATTTTGGGTCAGGGTGACCCTTTCATGGAATCAGAATCTAACACGGTCAGTTCTAATATCTTTAATTTCATTGACATTTTTTTATCACCTCGCAACTACATTGGAGCTAGGGGATAGAGCAACGCGTTTAAGAGTGTGTGGGTGAGTGGGTGCGTAAGGAAAGTGATTGATTGATTGTATGTCGTTTAACGTCCCATTCGAGAATTTTTCACTCATATAGAGACGTCACCAGATACCGGTGAAGGGCTTATGTAATTTACAAGTAAGAATTTGCAAGTGATAATCCAAGTGATACCCATAGCTCCCTTTATAAGAATATTCTTCAAAACCATACATGTTTATCAGTTTTAAATATTTTTAATATTCCTAACAATCAAAATGAATTTGAATAGCCACGCCTATACTGAATTCAAAAACTCCAGAAAAATCCTTACAAATAAAGATACATAGCAGGTTCCAGTAAATGTTCTACCAAGCCTCTTTCTTTACTCCTCATTAAAATATTTACAGCAGTGAAGGAGAAACTTCAGGAGTACTGTACAACAGTATATTCCAGAGTAGTGTAAATCAGATGTGGATACTTAAGAACTCCAAGAAACTTTAAGAAAATCTGAAATCACAAAATTTTACCAAATCAATAACATCCAAATGTACGAATTTTCAACAGTTTATACAACCATTCCCCGTGAAAAATTAAAGTCCAGGCTTTTTTTTTTTTACATCATAGACAGCTGCTTTCTCAATACAAATGGAACTCGTAATTGTACTTACCTTGTCATTGGTAATTTGCAAAATTATTTGTTAAAACAACATTCTGATTGTATACTCAAGTACTCCGAAGATTTTAAAAAGATGATTGTTTTTCTTATTGACAATATATATAAAATATAGTATATATATATATATATATATATATATATATATATATATATATATATATATATATATATATATATATATATATATATATATATATAGTTTTTGGATATCAGGTTTCATTACAATCTGTTGGGATTTTTAATGGTATACATGTACGTACCAATGGCGCCCCGTTATTAGGAGACCTATTTTTATCAATATTTTAACATAAATGAATAATAAGTTATGTCAATGTCGTTACAATTATTTTTTCCTCGACTCGACACTTAACTGTTTAGTTATGGAAGTATCAGCAGTATATATATATATATATATATATATATATATATATATATATATATATATATATATATATATATATATATATATATATATATAAAATAAATTTTAAAGGTGTGACATGATTTCTTAGATATAAAGGAATTGAATAAACTATGAAACATGATATTTGTTTGGACGATAAGAAACCCCATGTGCTTTTACGTTTCGAGGATTATTCTCAGTACATCGCCTGAAACGGTCCAGCTGCTCGTTCATTCCTTGGACTAATAAGTTAAACAGTTATGACCAAATTGATCGGACTGTGAGAATAAAATGACCTACTGAATATAGTTTTTCTCTTTCATTTTTTTTTTTATATTCTTTCCAATGATTTAATTTTTTATATTATAATGATAATGAAAATCGGTTATTTGTTCATTGTTATGACTTTATTAATAATAATTAGGAATCAAGGGAGTCAACAAGAATTTTGTATGATGATACTGCCTTTTACAAAAAGCCGTTTGCTTTTGTTTAGTGCGAATATAGTGAGTGTTTTGTGCGAAACAGCCCTCATATATTAGAAAAGTTTTCCTTAGCGAGAGGAGGTGCCGCTTTGCAGTGCCCTTGTTCTTTTTTTTTTAATCTAAAACCCAGTATATTTGAAGGCAGGTATTATTTGCCTTTTAGTTATAATTTTCAACTTGCCAACCACTGGATAAAACTGCACCTGTAACGTAACTGAATGGAAACTGAAAGGTCTGGATAGGTCACTGAATGGCAGTGCTCTGCCTTTCACCCACCTTTCAGTAATATTAAGATTTTAGTCACCTTTCCGTCAACTGAATAGCAGAGTTTCATCCTGCATGCACCAAGACTTACAATGTGGATAAATACAGTTAAATCTTGCTATCACAAATTCAATGTGGCCGAGAAAAAACTTCGAGATATTCAAGGATTCGAGATATCAAGGGTAAAATAATTAAAAAATAAGCGCTTGCGACTTCCAAATCAAAAAACCAAGACATATCCATGGTATCCGAAATACCGAAGTTCAACTGTATAATTATATAAACATTAGCACGTTGAGACTTGAATTTTTTTACGTCTTTCCATGACTAGGATTTATATGTATATCTTTTGAATTAAGTTTCTAAAAAATTAGACCATTTTGTGCCAGGTATAGATCTACCTCAAATACGATGACATTGTTAAGCTCCAAAGTCAAGGTCAAAGGGTCAAAACTGTTTATACCCAAGGGAAGTTTTTATCACATGGAATACACAGGTCAAATATGAAAGCCCTGGCACCAACTGTTAAAAATTATGGCCAAGGTTAATATTTGGTAAAATTTTGCAAAGTGGGCCAAAGTCCAAAGTCAGAATCAAGAGGTCAAATATGTTGGTACCCTTACAAAGGTATTCTAAATAGAAATACACATGTCAAATATGAAAGCCATAGCTCTAACCAATCAAAAGTTAATGGCAAGGTTAAAGTTTCTGAGGACAAACAGACAGAATAACGGGCGGATAGAGAAAAAAAAAACTCTATGCCCCCGAATCTTTGATTACGGGGGCACAAGAAATCCTCAGTAAGTTTTGACGTTCAAATAATCATAAGAAGTTTAGATTTTAAAAAAGGGAAAGGTATTAAGTGTCCATTTAAAACACTTGTTTAGCATCAGTGCAAGTATCTGGCCATTGGCGAAATATCTTTGGATTTTAAGGTCATTTAATTCAGATGTGATAGCAAACATCGTAAAATACCGGTACATGTGTTCGTATGTCCTAATTTCACTAAATGCAAACCAAACCAATGGATATTAATCATACATCGCAAATACATTGGTTTGTTTTAACACCTGTTCATGTACAAGCTTAATTTAACACGTGTTCTTATCTTTAATAATACTCTCTTTATGTATCTAATGAAATACAACCAAATTAGACGAATGAATGCAATCCAACATAATTAATATACAGTTGTGAATCGTGGATACATGTACGAAAATGTTCGACCGAGCTCCTACATCATACTGTTGGTGTCTTGAGGGTGTTTTGCATATCTCTCCGATTTATAGTAGGCTGCTAGTTTGGGTCGAGCCTCCATGCGCGCCTTGAAAGCCTTAAGAAGGGGGCAGTAATCGGCAGATTCATACGCCTTGGAATAGGAAGATTCACACCCGCGGAGGCACTGAAGTAGAGCCAGGTCTACGTATGTCACGTCCGCTCCAAAACAAAATCTGAAAACCAATTTTCTCTCAATAAAAATATCATTTGAAAAGAAAATATCTGTAGCATACAATGTCAACAAAGTGATGTATATAGCTATCTTAGGTATTATATGCATATTGAAAAGAAAATTATGTTTTATATAGGGAAAAACTTTTAGCCAAAATTTATGCTTGTTAAATTATTTATTTCAATTTGGTAGTATCATCTGATAAATCCTATGTGGTACTAGTATCTAAAACAATTCTTGAAAAATATTGTTAGGTATCAGTTGTTTTCTAATGTGATGCAATACCAGTAATACCATTTCAATACACATGCAACTCAATGTGTACTAAGTTGATCACAGTGAAGACAATACAACATAAATGAAAGACTATTTGTATTCTGTTTTGTATGTGAAAAATGGCCTTGATTAAAGATGGCATATAAGGACATGTTACATGTAGTAAACAAGGTGAATTTTGCAATAAACATGTACTAACTCGGACACCAAGATAATCATGATGAAGAAATAAAGTTATCTTATCTAACTATCTTAAGAAATAAATTGTACAGCTAATCAAAATGGCAAGGTAAATTGACCACTCAAACTGGTATGTAACACTAAATATCAATGTGAATTCTCATACCAATACATCTGATGTAATGCAAAGTTTCCTTTATGTATGTCAATCCCTAGAAATTTTGAAAGAAACGATTAAAATCTTACAAGAATATGTTTCTTTTATACCCAACAAATTCTATGGAGGGTGTATGAAAAACGTTTACTGGTAATATATTCTATCAAAAGAATTGTGTCATTTTTGATTTTTTAAAAACAGTATATAAATGGTAAATCAGGTGAATTAATTGAAAAAGAAATCAAAATAGCATCAGTAGAAACCAACCCTTGACCACCGTTATTATACTTCAGAACAGCTTCAAAATGTTTCAGCCATTTTGGTAGCCTCTCTTTGACGAACCAATCAATATACGGCTGTGTTTCTTCCTTTTGATCGTGATAAGAACCAATCCAATGCTTGCCGTGAAAAGCCAGTCGTCCTGTGGAAAAAAGGGGAAATGTACATTCTTTATTCTATTTACGTTTGGCTTATGTAACTCAAAACTAAAAATTCAGAAATAAAGTAGGGTCATTTAGTGTATTTTATTTAAATTATTTATCTATTTATTCATTTATTTTTTGAAAGAATAAAATCACTAGGACGTACAATACACATTTTCAAACTTCAATTTCATAGATATTCTAAATAAGAGGCCCATGAGCCACAAAGCTCACCTGATTCACATCTGCTGTTCTACAAAAGGTTGTGTTTTTAAGATGTTTTCTTTCTATTATATTTCATTGTTTTTTTTTCCTATATTGTGGCCCCATTCAATTCAAAAGGGATCATGTTTTAATCAAACTTAAATCCACACTTCATTGGAATTCTAAATATCAATATGACTAAAGACACCTCGCTTGGAAAAAGATATTTTTAAGAAGATAGTTCGACATAATGTAAAATGTAATACGCGCAATCCTCATCTTATCAACAGTGTCCATGATTTAAAGCAACTTGATTTGCATATCAACAGGATTTAGTGTAGCTCAGAATTCTCAAAATGTTTTTGAAAATTTCCTTATTACCTAATACCTATTTAGCCCCACCTTAGCCCCAGCGGTAATAATTTGAACACAATTTATGTTAATCTACAATACATTAGAAATGCTTGCATAATAAATTTGAGAAAATGTTGTCCTTGTGTTTGTTAAGAGAAATTTTAAAATGTTATATTTAGCATACATGTTTTTAAGCACAATTTTCAAATTCAGGTCTAATGACACGTTCCTCGAAAATATGATTTTGTTTCTCTTTGTTTCTCTCTGTAACATACAAAAAATCTTCTCAATTATCATTATCTTGTCATTTCAAAACTGGCTTCAAAATTTCTTCAAAATAGAGAAATCAAAGACTGTGATATCAGCGTATCAAGTGAAATCAACTGGGGTTATATCCTCTGGGGTTATATCGGTCCTTCGGATGAGACCGTATAAACCGAGGTCCCGTGTCGCAGTAGATACTGGCACGAAAAAGATCCCTCACTGCCCAATGGCCCTAAGTGCCGAAATTTGCAGCCCTGCACCCACAAGTGGTAGCGTCTCCATATGAGTGAAGAATCCTCGAGAGGGACGTTAAACAACAAATAAACAAACTAGGGTTATAAGGAAATATAATCCTCGGTATATATTATTGAGGAAAGTGTCATCTGACCTTACAGTATAAAACGAAGCAGCTACAATATATTTACTATACAAGTTGCAGTGTGAAGATGGAGAATGACGTAACGTTAAAAATATCAGTTCCCAAGAAAGTTCGTCCTAAACCTGAAGCATCCGAATACCTGAAGGTCCACTGTATACCTAAGTTAAATACTGATATTCTGTTGTGGCCCATCTGGGACTGTAATTGATTTGTTCACTTCATGAGAAAGTTTTCAAGTAAATTTCCTCTTTTCTGGGCCAGTGGTTTTTAAGAGATTTTTAAATGATCCCATCCTACTTTAAAAACAAACAAACAAACAAACTTTTCTTCATTCTCTCTTCTTGAAAGGGGACATAGACGGACAAACTTCGATCAGAAATGCTCATTTGAGCCTATAACTCTAATGAGCTAATACAATTTACATTAACCTTCGGCCACAAAGTCATGTATGGTGATGTTCACTTGTTCCGCTTGCACCTTTTCCTCTTCCAGTTTAGGAACAAGTCCAAATTGTTCTCCAAGATATTTACAAATAACGGGCGTCTGTCCAAGGTGGAAATTACCTACATAAAAAGCAGTATTGACTTGACAATCAGGTATTGATAAATTAAAACATGTTAAATATAAAATAGTTACTGATATTTAATTAAAACTTTGGCAACAACATGCAAGTGAAATGCATCGTAGTCTACAGCACACTAGCTTTCAAAAATAAATTTTGAATTGTTTTGAAAAAATATCATTAAAAATTCAAATTTTATAATTTCAAACCATTTTAGTCAAATTGTATACATACAACATGGAACAAACAAGTATTGCAAGACCTTTCAAAGTCAACGGAGATTACATATCCGAGTGTGACTTATAGTCGATTTTGAACGTGGAAAATATCATTACGTTTTATTGACGGCAAACACCGGAAAATCACGAATATTGATGGTCCCTTTCAAAGGTTGCAGCCATTTTTGTAATGTTCAATCCCCGTAGATTTGAATTTGCTGTCTTGTCAACTTACTAATTGAACTGGAGGGTTCATTTCAAAGTAGAAAGTTTAGTGGAAAAAATAAATATCATTGATCTAACCTAGTTTGAAACTAATTGAAAGCCAAGATATTTAAGATTCGTGCAATTGAGGTGTAATGCAAAAAAAGATGAAATTTTGTACCACGGGTCAGATTATGATAAATTAACATTTTAGAAACGTATCTAGATCTATAAAAAAGTCATCATATCTTACCGATGGATTATATCGATCATAGTGGTTTTTTTTGTGAATATATAATTCAATGATTACCGCACAGTAACTGATAAAAAAGATGTAAATTTTGTATAGTAATGTAGATGTAAATGATTGATACTCTAACAATACAGACCCCGTCTAAGAACAGGGGGGTGTAACACAGGGAACCCCCCGATGCCATTGCGCATGATGGTTTCTAGGACCTCCTCGTATGTTTTCATTGGTTCTGTGTATGGTACCCCTGCTTCCTCAAAAACAAGACGAATAAATTCCGCTCTCCCGGCAAACGGGACATTGTAGTACAAAATCTCCCAGTCGCCCATCTTAAATAAATACGAATTCAGTTTTATAATTACAATTAAAAAAAAAATCCATACATGTAGTCATTGTTTTATCCTTTAAATATATGTTCATGTAAATAATTTTATGTCTCAAAGTGCTTGAATTCTTTCATGGAAACAAGAACTCTGATGTTCTAATTCATGTTCTGATTTTTGAACTGACACATTTCCAGCTTTAAAAAACTTGGAATAAAAGAGCATTCTCAAGGACAGATAATGCTTCTTTAAATCAGCCTTAAAAAGATACAGTTATCATGGTTATCAAATTTAAAAAAAAATGAAAAAAAAGATACTTTGATTAAAATCGTGAAGTTTCTATTAGCTTAAAATGTTTCTTTTGTTAATGATCACAGAACATTAAAAAAGAAAAGAAAAAAGACGCAAACTTGATGCCATAACCCTGCAAAATCATTTCCAACGTTAACAGGCTGTGTATATACATGCATCTTACCTCACGAGCAACATGAACAAGCAACGCCAAATGAAAAGTATACTATTATATAATAGTCTATAATAGAACGGATTCTCATTTATTAAAAAAAAAATCATTAAACTCGTGCAAATCTACATGCAGCTCAGGTACAAATACTTACCTTGGCTAGCTGTACTTTTTAATGCCGCTTTTCGGACGAGAATCAAATAAAAAGACCGATATTTATCAGAATGTTGATACAAAATGAATATCTTATGGTGGATATCCTAAGCTATAAATAGACCGCTGCGTTTTAAATACCCACGTTACTTGCCTTTAAACTTGTTTACATTAAAAGGAGTATGGCCACCAATTATGTACAAAATGTAAAGTTTAAGGATAGTTACAACTAACTATAAGGTCGTATATAAATTAATAAATAGTATTTTCTCAAATCAAGAGTTTCCATCCTTTTAATAGATATACCAATCTGTTAGAAATAGAGGATGAACTATTCTTTCAAATTTTCTGCCGGAAATATAACGATTGTATAAATAAACTACATATTTGGACATGTGACAAAATGTGTAGATAAATATAGATGAAAGTGAAAGTAGGTTTGTTAAGATGAGTCGGTAAATCCAGCAGCGATGTAGTACGTCAGGTGACAGGGAAATGTTATGAAATTACAGAACAGATGAAATTATAAGAAAATTTGCACAGACTTTAAAGGTATTATTAAAGCCGCTTTTTCTTCCTCGATTGCAACTTTATCAGTTTAAAGATTTTGTGTACACGCCCATATATACTTTGATCGAACGTAACACTCAATATGTATGGCAGCTATTTTCTAGATGAAATACACTGTTCTCGAATACTAGTAATTATTTTAAAAGTAAAAAATATAGCCGATAAAATAATGCATGTTTATTACATTTTCAATAGATTCTGAGAAATACTGTAATTTATTACATTTTCAACAGTGAAATACTGTGATTTATTTATTGAATAAAAGTGATATTCTCTCACAGTGTGAAAGGATACCAAAATGATAATTCTCTCACAGTGTGAAAGGATATCAAAGTAAGTAAAAAATAATTTCTGGCCTGTCATAAGATAAAGAAAGTAACTAAGCATCTTGATAGAGCTAAATTTCTTCCCAAATATGTTGCTAAAATCCATGCATTGTAATGTTTTCAATCACACAACTGCTAAGCTATGATGATTCAACCGCTCAACTATGACGTCAGGCCTATGACACTGTGTTAAGAAAAGACAGAGGCAAAGGGAAAATCAAAGAAAATGTAATAAACAGAAAATTCAATGTTTTGTAGATGAATATGGAATTTATTTCACTCGTGAGACAGGATTTTTTTATATTTTCACTCGTGCTTCGCACTCGTGAAAATATAAAAAAAAAATCCTGTCCCACTCGTGAAATAAATTCCATATTCATCTACAAAACATTGAATATCCTCTATTTATATAATGAATAAAAATGTTATTCTGTCACAGTGTGAAAGAATATCAAAGTGATATTTTGTCACCGTGTGAAAGAATATCAGAAGTGCTGCAAAACTCTCAATTTTCATACAATTCACGAAGAGTGTTACAGAAGATACCTGCTATACTTCGATGGTGAGTGCTGACAGAGACTAAACTGCCAAAGTTTCTCCATATTTGTTTTAGAAATCCATTAATTTGTAAAATGTTTTCAATCTCACAGTCGCTAAGCTTTGGTGTCTCAACCGCTCAACTGTGACATCGTGCATCATATTAAATTACGCTGTGGTACAAAAAGGGAAAATTAAAGAAAATGTAATAAACAGAAAATTAAATATTTTTGTAGTTGAATATGAATGTATTTCACTCGTGAGACAATTTTTCTTCATATATTTTCATTCGTGCTTCGCACTCGTGAAAATATAAAAAAAAAATGCTGTCCCACTCTTAGAAAGAAATTCATATCCAACTACATCAATTTGAATATCCTCTATATACTTTATTTATCTACCCAGCTTCAGTCATGAAACAAAGGTACCTAAAACTGACGTTCATAGCAAAATCAAAAACTAACAGAAAGATTGAAATCTTAAAAAATTGGTACCGTATACATACCACATTGAATTATGAATTAAGTATTTATATCACTATTTCATGTTAAACCTTACATTTCCTTTTCTATTGAATATATTAAACTTTGCATGTACTTTTTTCAAAATTACCATTAGAACGAAGAATTTTGACCCTGATTTAAAATTGACCCGGGGCTAATTTTCAACGTCCATTATTGAACCGAAGGTTGCTTTTCAACGTTGAAAATTGAGAGCAAAAGTTGTGAAAATTTTCAACAGCTTGGTATTTTTTTTTTTTTTTTGACAATTATGACTTCAACGCATTGAAAATTGACCCCGTTGAATATTGAACCTATATAACTACATCGTTTTACCCTGTGTTTGACCTGGAACTTATTGTATACGATTTATATGTACAAGTATCTTATTCTACTATTATTGTAAATATCAGTTTCAGAAGTATCACCTCATTTTAAATGAGGCAGACCTATAGGACCGGAATTGGTTTTAGTCTTACGAAAATCTTATCCATTTTATAAAATATATTTTTCTATACTTTTCATTGTAATGATTTATATGTCTATTATAGTAATAATTCCCTATTCGAGTATATTTCACATCCCCGTCTATAGTTTTTTTTTTTTGGGATGCACGTATATATTACAATACATTTTGGCAGAAACATTTCTATATACAAATTATATATATATATATATATATATATATATATATATATATATATATATATATATATATATATATATATATATATATATATATATATATATATATATATATATAATTCTCTGTATTTTTAAACACATTACGCGGAAATAATCAAAAACATGTCACTGATGTATAAAAATTACATAAATCAAAAAAAAAAAAAAAAAATTAAATAAATTTAAATAATAGCATTGTTTCCAAATACAACCTATCCTTAGTTCATATTTTGGCTGACATTTTTCATACCCAAGCCGTTGTTTTAAACTAAATTACATCGAAAATCTGATCAATATATAGGGACAAAGGGGATTGTTGCCGGCCTAAAGGGAGTATTTACTCCTCCTTGGTACGGATCCAATCTTTGGAGTCTCTAGGGGACCGTATTATATGCCATGTTCAAAAATTTGTTTTGTTTTAAGAATTTTCAGATTGATAACTGTTATCTACACTTTTTCATTAGGTTGAAAATTTCGAATATCGACATATATTTTTAAAGAAAAGTTCAGTTGGTTGATCGAAACTGTAATTATAAACTGTAATGGAAAAGACAACTAGTTATTTTATTGTCAGTCATTTTACTTTTTAGAAAAAAAAACAAACAAATTAGATCAATAGATATTTAAATTAGACCAAAATGCCATTGTCATATCCGATTTCCGGGTAAATTGGGCAAGAAAAGTCTTAAGAATATACCAGAGATAAAGCTGTTGTCTGAAATTAAAGTAACTCTCAATTTTCAAGGTGGATATTGTTATCACTAAGACACTGAGCATGATATATGAAAAGAACGAACAGAAATCAAGCTTTAAAGCCCATAAAAACAATACGAATTGGAAGCAGAGCAAACACGGACCTTTAAAACACCAGAGTTGGGATTACATGTATGTGGACATACATCTACTGGGACACATAAAATCCACATGCAGGTGATAATGGTATATTGCTACAAAATTAAGGGAAGTTGAAGTCATCACGGGATATATCGAATCAATTAGGAATTTCGACAGGAATACTTGATATCCAAAAACTTCACAGATATTGTCAATCAGAAACTCAAGTATTTTTTAAATATCAACTTCGGAGTACTTGTGTGTACAATCTGAATGTTTTAACGAAATGATTTTACGAATGATCAATGACAAGGTAATTTACGAGTTCAATTTGTATTGAAAAAAAAAAACAACAAAAAACATTTGTCTATGATTTAAGATAGCCTGCACCGTAATTCTTCGTGGGGAATGCTTGTAATAAGTGTTGAAAAGTTGTACCTTTGATGTTAGAGATTTTGGTAAAAGTTTTTGATTTTAAATTTTCTAAAAGTTCCTTGGAGTTTTTAAGTATCCACATCTGATTTACACCACTTTTCGAATATATATTTTGTTAAACAGTACTCCTGAAGTTTCTTTTTCACTGCTGTTAATATTTTACATGTTTAGTGAGGAATAAAGAAAGAGGCTTTGTAGAACATATAATGGAACCCAATATGCATATTCTTTTAAGGATTTTTATTTAATTTAGGAATGCAGTATAGGTATGGTGATTCAATTCAATTTGCATGGTTGTTGGAATATTAAACGTATTTAAAATTGACATATGATTTTGAAGAATTTCCTCCTTAGAAAGGGAACAATGAGTATAAGCTGGATTAACACTTTCAGAATTAGATCCAAGTTCCTCTGAAATACAATTAAAATAATGAACCTTAATTACCTCATACAAACATCTATGCAAAATGGGACCAGTATATATTGATCGTGTAATCTATTTTATTCTTATATTTTTTCCCCTTTTTTTGTAGTTTTGTACATGTAGATTACCCCCTTCACCGGTACATAAAAATAGCATTGTCTGTGGCGAAAATATGCGAGAAGTTTGCTTTACACAAAGTGAAACTAGTGCCAAATTGATGGCAAATCAAAGAGTGTTTGCACAGTCTAGAAAAAGAAATAAAATAATGTTTAATGATAATAATTTATGAACAATAATGATTTTTCGATCGTTCCTTTGAAAATTCGAAACCTTCCTATTTAGAGTCTACATGTCTGGTGCTAATTGTCTATTTCAAATTGAACATATTTCAGAAGGCATGTTAATTCAAAGAATGAAAAAAAAAATAGTGAAAAATCAGGGCTTTTTGGGGAGGGGGTGCAACCGAACAGATATTCACTTACAAAAAAGACAAAAAAGGCTAACAGACATTCTTTATAAAAGGACACAGCCGTAAATTAGCTTTGCTTCCTATTGTAATTCAGTAGTATATGATCGTGATGGAATATACGGACCTGGCGAATTGTTATCCAAATTATTGAATATGTGTAATTTTTAAATGAAAAAAAATCATGATTGTAAACCTCATTTTTACATTCATTTCATTTTTATATTTGTTTTTATGCTGTTGAATTCCGGCCCGGTTTAATGATCAAAATTCAACGATGCGGCTCAATTTTCAAAAGGCAGGAGGTCTGAATTTCACACCGTTGATCTAAATGTTCAACCCGGAAACATGATCCCTGAGTCATGTTTTCAACCAGGGTCCAAATTCTTTGTTCTCCACGTCTTGTCTTGCCATGGAGTTATTTTATATTTTCTTTACTGCTACATAATTATATATAAGACACATGTATTTACGTGATAATCATTTGAGACATTTTTATAAATGTGATAAATAATAATTTTATAACAGTTTGAAAGTGAGAAATATAATAAAAACGATCATGCATGTAAATTAGTTACTTATTTTTAATTTTATTTTTTTTTAGATGGCTGATTGTACATGCCACGAGGAAGATGTGCGGAGGATGGGTTTGGGTGAACTCTGTGATAAGCTGGAAGAGATGGGTGTGGACTATTCCTCACTGGAAGATATTGAGGAAATTCGGGATCTTGTTCTTAAATCCATTAATGAAAGAAGTTTGCCAAACCCTGAAAGGAGGAACTCACAGGTACATTCAGTGCACTGATGTCAGCAACAGTACTTGCTCACTTTGTGGTCAATATGGGAGAAATTTATTGTGCATGTATTATTTTTATGTGTATATCTAATTAATGAAAAGTTGTTCTATCAAAGAAAGATAATTATAATAAATTTCATACATATACGGTTTTTATTTATCTAATAAAATGTTTTCAGAAAATGAACTACAATTTATTAAAATTATAATAAAACAGAAGATGGGCTGCAATTTCAAACACATGTATCTACACTGTATGTACTGTACATTTGTAGGTATTTCGTTCACAGAATGTGTTCTCATGTTTTATATTCAGTATATTTACGTACATTTTAAAGGACTATATTCTGTAGTGGCCAGTATCTGCCCCCAAGATAAAACTTTGATGGAGAAATCTTTAATTATGTTCTAAACCAGGTGGATATTTGCAGACTTCAAAGCATTAAATATTTTTATCAACTATGACATCATTAGTTAGATATGATGTCAATAAAATGACGTAAATTCCAAATTGCAATGATTTTGAGAGAAAATAGTGTATTTTACGTCGGTATTTTGATTGGAAATTATCGAGCGCAGGTCTGCTCAGACTAGAACTTTTGATATAATGTGTAGAATGATAATATCAATGAAATATGTGAATATGGTACCTGAGCAAGCTTGCGCTCTATAAATACTATAGTCAAATTTGAACAAACTCTGTCCATTTGGGCCTCTATTTTAAAAATAACGAAAATGCGAATAGTTTGTGACGTCACAGAGACAAGAAAAGCCAACTAATTTTTCCAATTTCATAATATATTGTCTTAATTTGGATTATTTTATACAATATATGCACTTTTTCTCATTTCAACAGATTTTCAAAATTTGACTATTATGGGGGCAGGAATACGCCCTTACCGTATGTAGTTCTTTATAAGTAAATTTGCATTTATTTACAAAATAAACAGGTGTCGAGTGAGGTTATGGGAGAAATTTTGGAGCGAGATGCTAAAATGAGAAAGATAGTTGCAGATCTATACAGCTCTTTGTTGGACATGCTAAAAATGCAAAATTTTGAGAAGAATCTGGGTACAGAGATGACAAAGGAATATAATGGTTATATCAGCACAATAGAGATCTACAGACAACAGCTGGAGAGACGCCATTGTCCTATAGTTGTAGCCGGTAAGAATGAGGGATGAAATCAGAAGCAACAAAATAAGCTACTTTCTGTAATGTAAGTGAATAAATCATATATAAAAATGTTATGATCTATCATGTCTATTTTACGTTTATTTGCATCGACATTAAAAATTACTCCCTTTCTGAGGTAGGTTATGTGAATAATATATTTTCTATATTATTTTTAGCGAAAAAACCCAATAGTTTTAAAGTAATTTACATAAATATATATGAATTTAATTTTAGGAGAAACAGGGGCTGGAAAATCGTCCCTGTTAAATCTCATAATGGGAGAACATGTCCTTCCACGCCAGGTCCTAAGTTCAACCTCAACCATTTGTCAAATATTCAACAGCGACACCAAGCGAGCGGAAGTGATAAAAACAAATGACGAGAAAATTGTTCTTAAAGATGTCACAGAAGCTAAACTTTCCAAATATGTCAGTGTTGACCGGTCAGGAGAATCAATGGAGAAATACAAACGAGTAGATATTTACTGGCCCCTACCTATGCTGCAGGTCAGTTGTTCGATCTCCTAGCTTTTTTAGTTTTCATACCTTTTCGTTTTGATGTTGGAACCAGGTTACACGATATATGACGTTTCAGCTTAAAAGTAATAATTTGTCATAATTATAGTAATTGTTTTTAGGAGCACGCAACAATTGTTGACACTCCTGGAATAGGAGAAAGTGAGGAAATGACGGAAGTTCTTCTGAACTTTTTGACGGAAGCTGTTGCTTTTATCTACGTCATCAATACGACCAACGCTGGAGGGGTTCAAGACGATAGAGTAAGAATGTTAACAAGGCTGTTAAATTAATAAAGCAGAAACTTTAATCACATCTAATTGTATATTTCTGTATAATGATGCAAAACTACTAACCATAGTGCTGATCACCATTATATTTTTCGTCATATAAAGACGATTAAAAATCATTAATGCTTGAATAAATTGAAGAAAATAAAAAAAAATGTTTATACTAGTATACAAAATAACAAAGAGAAAGTCTTGATCATTGAAAATACCACCTCTCTTTGTTTCCCTGCAACACAGCTCGTAAGAATATTTCAACAACAAAAAGAATTCGAAAAGAAAGGACGCTTACTGCAATTTGATCCTGACTGTGCAATCTTTGTCTGTAACAAATGGGACCAAGTTCCAAACGAGGAAGGGGACAGGGTATGGGAAGACATTGCAAGAAAGCTGAAGAACCATTGGCCAACCAGGCGTGACATGGACATTACAAAGCAGATGTTTAAAATGTCCACAACAGAGGTGAGCTGAAGACAGTAAGGCTGGGTATTGGCTGGAAATTTCGTATTGCAATATATTGCGATATTTTTATCTGTATTGCGATATGCATTGCAATATTTTCAATAATAGTTAAAATGCTTTTTAACCCCCATTTATGAGCAAAATGCATGAAAACTATTATAAGTACTGCTTGTGTATTAGGGGAAAACCCCTTGATAATGAATATAAGAATTGAATGTTTGAAATGCTTTTAATGTCAAAAGAAAAAAAACTGATTAGCTTAATTTGATACTGCAATCAGGAAAGAAAATGCCAAGTTTTAGATATATATGATAACCTATTGATAATGATCAGTTTAATTTCAGGTAATTTTTATCAAACGAAATTATCTTTATTCAAAGAAAAAAAAATCAGATATTGTTATTATTAAAAAAGCGAACGTTAACGGAAGTTTACATGGAGGGCAAAGAAAAAATATTATTAATCGTATGTTAAAATGAAAACCTCATTTTTATTTTTACATGGGTTCTAAGCTTTGTCAGTAAGTACTTGTATTTTCGGTCAGTATATTTAATAGACATATGCATATTTTAATTCTTCTCACTATTGATTTATAAAAGAAAAATATTCTTGACTTTGTAAGGATCTCAGAAGAGCTGATGCTGGTCTTGGTTACACAGATAAATTTAAGTGTCTTCTTTCTGGTATTGATCGTCTAGTTGGTGCCAGTTTGGAGCGAAGAGTGAGGAGACATGTAGAGTAAGATTTTAGGACCTTCCACATTTTGACTTCTTCAACGTGATATCCAGATGTCAATCTATAGTGAAACTTGTTTAATCCAGATATTGTGCATTCCAAATCTTGCTAATTACGATGAAAACTTCTAGTTTCTTTCAGCTAATTCAGTTGTTTGAAATGTTGTCTAGTCTGAAAAATTTTCATTGAAGAAGTGATACCTGGATTAGACCAATTTTAATTAACTTTGACATACAAAAAGACAAATCAAAGTAGCATTTTCTTCTTTCAGCTGGCTGCAGGCTTTTCTGGACAGGCTTCTTGTGAAAGTTGTAGCCAGGATAAATGCCACAAGGAAGAATCAAGAAGAGAGAGAACTGATGAAAAGAGAAGTGGAAAAGAGACTGAAGACATTAAAAGATGAGACAGAGGATGTAGGTTCAAGTAGTAAAACTACTAGGAGTATTGATACAGTAAAAAAAAATGCTTACTCTGATAAGTGTTTAATTCTTTTCAAGGGAAATTCTGACCTTTAATCGAATTCTAATTTCACTACTTTTTCTGGTTTTCTTAAATATATGCAATCAGACACTCTGTTTATTATGACACTAAACTTGTGCCCTTTGTCAGTTTACACAGGTGTCACTGGATTGTATTATACCTTTATTAACATAATCTTGTGCAACCCCATTCATGTATGAGGTTTTCCATTACAATGACGTTTATACGTTTATTTGTTGAAAAACAAAGTGAAATTTCATGAGATTTATCACTGTTAGATCTTCATCATTCATAAAAGACTTTACCATTACATTAAAATACATTACAGCAATTAAAAGTTCAAGAAACATCATAATTAATGTAGAGTATCATTCCTCCCTCTTTCACAAAAAAGAACATTTTTCACTTTAGGTTAAAGTAAGAATGGAATTAGCAGCAGAGGTGAAATGCAAACACATTGCAGAACAATTAACTGGACACCTTAATAATCCGGAAACCCAGAACCGGATGTTTAAATGGCATACAGGTGTGTAGATTTGCTAAATTATACTAGAATGGAATACTTTAAATAAGAATATTAGTATGAAAACCATAAATATACACCCTTTGGTCACTTTGATATTATGTACAGATGTAATGTACATGTAGTTTAGGTTTATTTCCATTAGTTTTTCTTTATGCTGATTATGCATATGATATGTTTTAATAATTATTGTTAATTTATTTACCATTTTACAGTAAAACTGACTCATTTCAGAATTCAACATTTGAATTTTTTTATCTCCTTGTTTCCTTTATCTGTAGATGACCTGCCTGATGACAGTGATTTAGATCTTATAAAATATAAATCGAAACAAATTATACAAGATAAAATCAACAATGAAATCGTCCAGTGGTGTCAGGAAAATGACATCGAGGGAACATCCTCACATCTTTTTGATTTGTTTATCAAAGAATGTAAAATGATAAAAGGGAACTACACAGAGATAGACCAAATCATTCAAGGAATCAAACCACCAATTGCTGATGGGAATGTTCCCCAGGCAGTGGAGACTTCCTCTGATTTTGATGTATCCAAGACCAGGTCCATATTTCCTTTACAAGAACGCATTGCTCTTGTTGCTTTTGCCCCTCTATGGCTTCCATTGGTAATTGGTGCAAGTGTTTTGGCACTTCCGGTTGCTATTGGGATGCTTATCAAAGACGTTGTGGAAGAAAGACAGAAAATAAAGCATTACAGAGAAAACAAAGTATCACACATTTTAAAATGGGCAGAGGAAGAACTGAAATGTTACAGTACTGAATTAGTTTTCAGTGGTCTACAGCAGACGTATTTAAGAGAGTTTATGTCCAGCATAAAACTTGTCTGTGAAAACATAATACCCAAACAAATTGAGGCTGATGAAGAACTAATAGAAAATATAGTGAAAGAAAACAGGGATTCACAGACTATTAGACAAGAATACACACCGATTGAACAAAAATGCAAAGAAATAGTTGGAGAACTTCTTTGTTTTAAATTGCAACATCTTTCAGAGTGCCAACCACGCATTTTAAAAGAACTAGAACAGGTTGGAAGAGGAGCATACTCGACGGTTGTGTCCTGTGAAGTAGAGATCAGACAAAAACAGGAACGTTGCGCAGTGAAGAAAATGACATCACCATTAAATTCAGAGAACATTTATCTTCATCTTACAGAGGCAGCAAATCTTAGGTATATTTAAAAATATGGACAATAATATTAATAATTAAATAGCTATGATATGCACTATAATTTATTCTAATCAGAGGTACAAATCATACATATACAATTTTCCACTCATGTTAATTGGTAGAAAAAGATGTCGAAAATTGAAATTTACAATTATCACCTGCATATGGGGTTATGTCTCACTTTTGATTTGATACACAAGAGCATGTTCTCCATCTTTAAAACGAGACAAGCTACTGAAAGATAACTTGATGACGCAAGGATATCAACAATGTCCTTTAAAAAGTGAACATTTCGTAAATCTGCAGTAGATACAAAAAACTTTTTTTTTTGCAAAATACAATCTATCATTAAATCGAATGTTGACCACGTCTTTAATACAAAGTTTAAACATTTATTTTCACACTGAAATGACTATAGATTTTTCTGTTACCCTATCGTAAGAGGGAATACAAGGCGGTTGATAGGGGATGCTCACTAGTACTCCTTCAGGGCAATTGACCCCGCCTGCTCAAACTTCGTATTGTTGAATTGGACTTTTGAACTTGATTACTGTACGTTCACATTTCATTTCAAAATATCTTTATCATTTGAAAATTCTTGAATATATATGGTGTAATTTTAAAAAAAAATATTTTGACTTACAACAGGGAATTTGAACATGAGAATATTGTTCATTGCTTTGGGATCACCATTGAAACAGATCGCCAAGAGAGAAAATACCTACATGTATTCATGGAACTGTGTGAATGCTCATTAGAAGAACTTGTTTTGTGCTACAGCCATGCAATGATACTGTGTGATTGTAACAAACAGCGAAAGAAAACGTGTCACTTATTTAAAGAAACTGAGAGAAGCAGCCAGGAATTTCTTGATGAGTGGGCATTTTTTCTGAGAATGTTGATAGGCATATTAAATGGGCTGGTTTATCTACATGACAAGGATTTTGTTCACAGAGATTTAAAATTGTCAAACGTATTGGTAAGTTTGCTCATTCAATGCTGTTTTCTCTATAGAAGAATAAGATTCGAAACTTGAAATGATATGAAAAGATGCTTAGCAACTGGTAAACGTGTACAAATCATTTAACCAAGTCTATCAGATCAAAGATTATAAGATTAAAGTTAATGCAAATGTGTTAAGGCAAGTTCTTCAAATGTGGTATCACTTTCTAGCTTTCTATTACTTACTTTTTACATGTGTATTGCTGGAGCACTGATTATAATTATCGCATGTACGGTTTAATTATCGGTTATTTCTTCTGTATCTTAAAGGTCAAGGACAATACAGCTAAAATTGCAGACGTAGGTTTGTCTAAACCAGAAAATCTTCTGACTGGAACAATCATAGGAACTCCTGTTACCATGGCACCAGAAGTGTTTGAAGGACAGATATATAATACATCTGCAGATATTTTTGGCGTCGGTATTATGGTTTGGGAAATGTGGTATGGTAGAAAGGTTTTTAGTGAGGATTTTTATCGTGACGTCATAAAGAATTATCAGTCTGTAAAGGTAAGTGAAACCCTACAGGTTCTCAACAATAAGATAAAAAAGTGAGAAATACACCTTTTTTTGCACCCTTAATCGAAGATTCGGGGGCATATAATTTTTGCCCTGTCCGTCCATCTGTCGGTCTACCTGTATGTTTGTCTGGAAAAACTTTAGCCTTGCCCATAAATTTTGATTGGATGGGTCTATGGCTTTCATTTTTCACATGTGTATTCATTATGGCAAGACCTTTCATTGGGTACCTTGGGTACCAACATATTTGACATTTTGACCTTGACCTTAGAGTTTGACCCACTTTTGCAAAATTTTACCTTGGTCATAACTTTTGAACGGTTGGTGCTAGGGCTTTTATACTGCACATGTGTATTCCTTATGATAAGACCTTTCCTTGGGTACAACAATTTTTGAACTTTTGACCTTGACCTTGGAGTTTGACCTACTCTTGAAAAACTGTAACCTTGGCCATAACTTTTGAATTGCTGGTGCTTGGGCTTCGCTTTCCTATTTCACATGTGTGTTTCTTTTGACAAGACCTTCCTTTCAGTACCAACAATTTTGACTCCTTTTCCTTGGAGTTTGACCTAATTTTGTAAAACTATATACTTGGCCATAACTTTTGAACAATTGTTGCAACGCCTTTCATATTTCACAAGTTTATTCCCTATGGCAAGACCTACCTTTGGGTACCAACAATTTTGACCTTTGACCTTGACCTTTGAGTTTGACCTATTTTGAAAAACTTTAACCTTGGCCATAACTCTTGAATGGTTGGTGCTAGGGCTTTCATCTTTCACAGGTGTATTCCTTGTGACAACTCCTTTCTTTGATCTCTTGACCTTGGAGTTTTTTGGGTTTGCATATGAGAAACTTTAACCCTTGTCATGGGTTGCCATATCGGGGCATCAGTGTTTCACAAACACATCTTGTTTCTTAAGTGTTTGAAAATGATCAAGGCTGATCTACTGTTACAACAAAAAGGCATTTATGCAATGTCTAATGATTTGGAGTCTTTTTTGTTGTTGTTGTTATATTCAGAACGACATATGTCCCAAAATCAGATCAGTAGCTGATTGTTTGAAAAGAATAAAGTATTAAAGGATCGAAGTAATCAAATGTTTGGTGAACTGAAAGTCATGTAAAGGGTGTATCCCTGAATATATTATTTTACTTGAAGAAAAATTTCTTATTTGTAGTATCAAACAAAATATGAAATGCATTTTCTGTTTTGACTCTATACTAATGACAGGGCTTTAACCAAAGCACATTGGTTACTTCATCTAGTCTTTCAAGGTCTAACAGACTGCATTAAAGCAAATCTAGATGACAGAAATGAAAGATAAAAAATGCAGAATTAATTTTTCATTCAAATATTTTAAAATTATTGCTGTACATGTTATTTATTGTGTGGAATAATTAAAATGAAATTTATAACTCACAAGTATGAACTGCTGAATAAAAGCAGATTTCATGTCTATATGAATTTTTGGGTTTTAACATACACAATGCAAACATTTACATATTTTGTTCTGAAAAATTTCAATGATTTGCTCAGTTATTTGAAATACCTTACAGATATTGATTATCACATTTCTACAGAGTTCACTATCAAAGTATTTATCTTTCAATCCAGGAACACGTTATAGGAGGTGAACGGCCTAAGCTCGACCAAAAGTACGCACCACCTTTGAGAATACAGACATTTATACGTGATTGCTGGGTTGCAGAGGCAGACAAGAGACCGACAGCACGAAATCTTTTGTCCAGACTAGGAAACATTGGGGACAGTATATGTTAATTTTGTAGAACAGTACATTTGTGTGTGTGGGGGGGGGGGGGGGGTATATAAATTACACAATGTATGTAGGAGTTATTAAAAATTCTACTGAATATTGTGAAGTGTGGAGAGAAAAAAGGATGGGGGTCATGATTTTACCTTAAATTTTGAACGAATGTTAAAAAATTGAAATTTTTATTTTTCAACCAATCATATCTAAATCATAATTAAGTATAACGTATTAATACAATATAATACTAGTCTAGGGTAAGCAAAACGTGTACATGCTAATAGCAAAAGTGCCGGTAATCTATTACAGAAAATAAAAGACGAGTCTAGGGTACAATTTAAAAAAAATCTGCTATTTTACATAGATTGTACAATAGTAAAATATAGATCACACTGCCAAGTTGTATTCAAACAGCAATACTAATGTAATTGAAAAAATGATTTTTTAACAATTTGTACAAATGCTGCTTTTTAAAGCATGTTTATGTGATTAGGCCACAAACATCAATAAACTATTATTGTTTCAAAGCTTTTCGATGATCATTAATATCATTTTGACTTTATCGTCATATCAAATATTGAGATAACGAACAGTAATCAAGCTCAAAAATCCATAGAGAAAATACAAATCCGGAGCAGAGCAAACACGGACATCTAAAAACATCAGAGGTGGGATCAGGGGCCATAGAGGAGTAAGCATCCTCTGCTGAACGGTCACACCCGCCCTAGGCCTGTGCTCCTTGTCATGATCGGGAAAACGAATATATCCGTAGACAATTCAGTGTGTAGGTAATGGTCTAACAATTAGTACAAAAAACGTCAGTCAGCATTCTACTTAATGATAGATCGTTTTTGCTGACAAGGTCATTGTATCGATTATAGAACTTGCAAAATGTTGACTTTAAACGAGACTGTTGATGCTCTTGTTTCATTAACTTGTTTGTCAATAGCTTGTCTCGTTTTAGAATTGTTCGTAGGTAGAGCATGCTCTTGGACATTGAATCAACTTGGAAACTGAAACCCCATATGCAGTTGATAAGGGTATATTGCTACTTAAATAAGGGAAGTTGAAAAGTCATCACATTTATCATAAAATTTTGCTGTAAGGTTACCATTAATGTCTAAAATATCCAAATATGAAAGATGTGTCAGATTCTGTGGTGTCTTTTATTTCAAGTTCACTGGGATATATCTAGTCGAAATATGAATGGAAGTAACTATTGTTGATTGATAATATCGATATATAAGTCGATATATTTAAATGTCGAGATCTCATGTACAAGTTTTTTGAATAAATTCTGCTTTAGATACATGTATGAATACAAAAATGGGTCTGCTAATATACTGAGCAAAATAAGTTTAGCAATTAAAAATATATAATTAAACACACTGTAATGAAAATAAAATACAATATTTATAATGAAATTGAAAAATGAGGTTGTCATCACAAAAGAAAAAAAGTTCCAATTTTATCAATAATCATGTTCCGATACGCAAGAAAACAACGTTAATTAAATTGATAAGGGTATGGGTTGTAAAGTCAATTCCAATTCCACATTTCAACATTTGAATGGCCTCCATTTACAGCAATAACAGCCATACAATTGCGTTTCATGCTCCTTATCAGGTTTCTTATCCCAAGCATGGTGATCTGGTTCCACTCCTGCTGCAGGACAGAGGTCAGTTTCACTACGTTATTGACGTTATGTCGCTGTCTTAAAGGACGACCAAGAATGTGCCAAACGTGTTCAATTGCCGTGCAGTGTGCTGACGGATATTGTCTTGCTGGAAATGCTCGAATTTCCTCGACGCAAGAAGGAAAAACAAGAAGAACAACGATCTCGTTAAAATATCTCTGAGAGCTTAATGTTCCATTTATTGACACAAGGCCAGCTTAACCCTATTGACTTTCCACCATAACCGTTCCGCTACCGTTGCGGTCTCGTTGTATGATATAATTTCTGGGTCATACCGCTCATTTTTGTGTCTCCAAACACGAACTCTTCAATCCACAAATTAACATTAAAAAATGTGACTCATCAGTAAACAATACCTCATTCCATTGTCCTTGAATCCAGCGTCGATGAGTCCATATATTGCGGGATTATTGATGACGTTTAGTGGTACTGCAGTTAGAGTTCTTCGAACTCGCAGATTTGCTGAACGTAGCCTGTTTCTTACTTTTTGTCCACATAACCTCACTCCAGTAGCACGGCGTAACTCTTTTGCAACTTTCGAAGCAGTCATGAAACGGTAACGTCTCGACGTTGTAACAATAAAACGATCTTGCCTAACAGTCGTTTTGCGTGAACGGTCTGAACGCTGCCTATCAAGTGTCCAGTGGTCCGAAACCGGTTCAAAAGTCGGCATATGGTGGATGTATGCACATTAAAGTATTGGGCGACATTACTCCTGAGCAGCCAGTGGTTAGCATCCCTATAGCCATTTAACGTTTATTTTCAAAAAGTCCTGGTCTTTAACAAGAGTGCTCGAAAAGTGTTTTGATTATAAAAATTCTTCCCAGACCCTGAGCATTCGAGCATAACCTATCGTATTGTTGAATTGTCACAACGCTGGACATAACGTTTTCTGTGCGTCAAGTTTGAAAAACATATTTGCATTTTGTTGAGTTTTTGTATTGATTTTAAGGAGAAACATAACAGAACATAATAAAACATTCATGAAAAATATTTAAATATTTTAAAATTATACCTTTGTAAAACAATCGCTAAATTTATTTTCCGCAGTATAGTTGAGCGCACTTGTTGCCGATGGGAATTCCGACAGATTGTTCGAAGTCCTGATCTCCAAAAACTACGTAGATATTGTCAATCAGAAACCATATAGCATATTTTTAATATCAACTTCAGATAACTTTGTATGTTCAGTCGTCCATCTTTCACCAATTTCCCTACCAATTAATATTTACCACGCCAGAAGTCATTAAGAAGAGATTTGGATTGATTGATTGATTGAATGTTGTTTTTACGTCCCGTTTGAGAATTTTTCGAATTTATAGAGACGTCACCACATACCAGTAAAGGGATTCAAATTTAGACCTTTACTCGGCATTCAAGGCCGTTAAGCAGTGAGGGCTGTGATTCGAACACACGATCTTCCGATCACGGAGCGAGCGCTCTTCCGACTAAGCTACCGTGACGGCCAAGAAATATGGAAAGTAGAGGAATGCGATTTTCAACGGTGAATGGACTTCATATCGAAGTACATACTTTAATTTACTATTATAGTTATACCTTGATTAACTATAGTAAAAACTTTGATGTATTATGTAATATTAAAACTTTGATTTAAGTAGTAATTCATGAGTAAATACCACGAAACTTTAATTTACTGAATTGATAGCTTTTATTGACAGAGGAAAAGGTAAAGCCGAGGTCATTTTTGATATTTTTCTGGTGAATATCAAACTAAACCTAACACCGGAAGAGTCCATAATAATTTTTTTTTATATATAGTCTGGATTTACATAGATAATACATTAAAGTCTGCATGACAAACTTCTGTCCCGAAAAAATGAAAAATACGTCCTGATTACAAGTATTAACTGTCGTAATCGCCTCTGAACTCGCACTGACCCTCCAGTGAATACGGCTTCAAAACTAGAGAATAATGCAGTGTTATGAACAGATTGCGTTTTTATAGAATATCTATGAACTATTAATAGACTATATAAAATATAATATACATTGACATACCATAGTTAACTTTAAAAAACTATAACTAATTATGCACGCTCTATAAATGTTATGGTAATTTAAATTCAAGACACGTGGTCTTGGTTGATCCATCATGGTGTAGGGTATAAACAGTTTCTTAAAAAAATATGCCAGTTCACAGGAAATTGTTATAGTCTGTTTTTTTTTAATACTATTATAATTGTGATTCGGAACATTTTTGAATAGGTTTCATTGATTTTAAAAAGGGGGATATGGAACTTGACTTAAACCTCGCTTTTGTGACAATTGATGGTGATGTTTGAAACTCAGTAGCGGCTATAACACCGCAGTCGTCCCTAAACATGGGGAAACGTGTATTATCTACTAAAAGATACCACAGAGTGTGTCAGATCTGTTTCATATTTGGATATTTTACTAGAAAAAGACTTTAATGGTAATCTAATAACAAAGCTTTATGATTAACATGATGACTTTAACATTTTCAATCGCCAACTTCTCTTACTTGTGCAGTAATATACCCTTATCAACTGCATACGGGTTTATATCTCTCAGCTGATTCGATAAGCAAGAGCATTCTCTAAGTATGAACAATTTCTAAATGAATTAAGTTGTAGATAAACAGGTTGATGAAACAAGGATATCAACAGTCGTTTAAAGTCATCATTTCATTAGTTGTATAGTCGAAACATTGACCTTGTTAGAAATTTACATTAGGTGGCAGCATTTGCTTTACTACTCATTTCACCGCTAAGTGGCAGCTTTAATCAAATAAGTGCATCATAAATGAAATTGAGAAAGATGTTTGATCTTAAAATCCCACCTCCCTCTCTAATCAACAATGTTTATTTAGAGAATCATGCTCATGTTTTATTTTAATACTTTGAGTAGTCTAATCAGTTTTTGTTTGTCATTTTTAACTACTAGGATTTTAATGACTTTTATTATGGTATGTTTTGATTAGTTTAGCCATTTTTACATGCCATTTGCTAAAGTATGTCTGATTGTATTGACTCTTGTTGTGATATGTTTTGATTAGTCGTGCCAATGTTCCTTGCCAAATTTTTAGCACGTCTGATTTTAATGACGTGTTTTGCTACCTATTTTGAGTTGTGTTTCTAGTTTTAATTTCTAGTCGATGTTTAAATTGCGTTGATCGACAGAAGCTGATCCCTCACCTTTGATTTTTAGGGACACAATTTGAATTATAAGTATTTGGCATATGTTTCATTACTATTTTTCCATATTGTACATATGTTGTGTATGAAAAAGTTGATAGTCATTTTGCTAATAAATGACCATTTTCGATATGTCTGAGTTTAATACGTTAAAAA